TGATGTGGGCCTTTTTAAAAAAGTCTTTATTGAATTTGTTACAATGTTTCTGTTTTATGTTTTGGTTTTTGGCCTCAGTGCATGTGGGATCTTAGCTCCCCAACCAGGGATCAAACCAGCACCTCCTGAATTGGAAGGCAAAGTCTTAACCACTAGACTGCAGGGAAGTCCCTTCACTTTTCATAGAGATACTTAAAACAGTTTTCTGGGAGGAATTCATCTTGATTTTATCTCAGCTGTTTGAAACAGAGCAATGTATGATGCTGTCTCTAGAAATTTTATGCTAAGCTTATTTATTGAACATTAGGGTAGTTTGCTTCCTTCATTTTATCCTTTATTGGTGATTTTTGCATATCTGTGATCTTTATGAAGTAAACATTTATGCCCTCCCTTTATGGCGATTGATATTTAACAAATATTTTGGTCTCAAGATATGCAGGTCTATTAGAATGGCTCATTAAACATTTGTTCCTATTCTCTTTTGCTTTCCTTTGCAAAGAGTGGAAAACAAAATGCTAAACAAAATTTCCTGGCTCTCTTGTAGATAGAGATGGCCATATGATACAGTTCTGTTCAAGATGTAGGAGAAAATTTTCCATGAGATCTTCTTTCCGCATAAAAAGAAAAAAAAAAAAACCTCACAAGAGAAAGTCCTTTGTTTTAGTCCTTTTGCCTTCTTCTTGACTGAAAACAAGATAGTTCAAGGATGTCTTTTTTTTTTTTTAAGGATGTCTTAATAAAGAGACTATTTACAAAGGTGCAGGCAAAGGGGATAGAGCAGCCCCCCAGGTGAGTATCAGAGAAGCTCTTAACTACTGTAGTCCTGAAGGGTGGGGGAGGCAATTACTGGAAATAGAACATGAGAGCTGCCTGTGTTGGGGTAAGGGGAGTGCTTTGAGAGGTGCTGTGACCTTCATGGTGGGAACAGACCATCTCTTCCTTCCGTTCTGTGCGTACTCCTCTTTGGCTGAAGCCCCCTGGGATCCAAGAATCAAGGTCTACCTTTTAGACACAAATCTGGGTGGAAAACGGTAGAGAGTTAACCTGGAAAGACGAGCAATAAAAAAGGCATCTATTACTTACCTTTATATACCTAGTGTGCAAGACATGGTAAGAGTGCCTGATACAAAGGAAGAGATGAATAAAATTTTATTGAATTGAATCTAGTTTTTTATTTTATCCAACAGTGCTTAAAACCTAATCTGGGACTACTGCCAACCTCATTCAGGCCCAATAATCCAACATAAAATTGCTGTTCTACAAGGATCTTCCTTTACCCAACAGTAAAGGTCCTTTTCTGAGACCAGATTAAAAAGAGCTCTTTGAAATAACTTTTGTAGATCTGGATATTTTTAAGCACGAGATGGTTCTATAGTTTTATAAAGCCTGTCCTCTAGTACAATCTAACTTCTACACACTCACCTCATCAGGGTCTTCCAGAAGAAATAACTTTTGTATGCTACCTGTATGACTGTCTCAGTTTCTACATCTGTAAGAGAACAGTAATAACAGCTACCCATTACTCAAGTCTCCCTGCTTCCTCAGTGGTAAAGAATCCACCTGCCAATGCAGGAGATGCAGGTTTGATCCCTGGGTCAGGAAGATTCCCTGGAAAAGGAAATGGCAACCCCTCCAGTATTTTCATCTGGGAAATCTCATAGACAGAGGAGTCTGGCTGGCTGCAGTCCATGAGGTCTCAAAAGACCTGGACATGACTTAGTAACTAAACAACAGCAACAACTCAAGTCACGGGCACAAATGTTACCTCCTCAGGCTTTCTAGGATACACTAGGCTTACCTAGTGGCTCATTGGTAAAGAATCTGCCTGCCAATGCAGGAGACACAGGTTCTATCCCTGGTCTGGGTAGATCCCACATGTCACAGAGCAACTAAGCCTGTGAATCACAATTATTGAGCCTGTGCTCTAGAGCCTGGGAACCACAACTACTGAGCCCACATCCCTAGAGCCTGTACTCCAAAACAAGAGAAGCCACCGCAATGAGAAGCCCAAGCAATGCAACTAGAGAGTAGCCCCTGCTCTCTGCAAAGAGAGAAATGCCCAATCAGCAACAACGACCCAGCACAGCCAAAAAAAATAAATACATAAAATTATTTTAAAAAGAGAGGAAAAAAAATAAAAAGAGAGGAATAACACCCCAAGTTACTTGCTAGCCCACTAATGTCTTATTTTTTCTCATTGCAGTTATTACTTTTCAAATAGTAACTTATTTACTGTTTACTTGTAGATTGTTGGTCTTCTCCCAAAAGAATACTTGATCTTTGTAAGCAAAGACCTTGTCTGTATTGTTCACCGCTGTATTCTAAGCACCTGGAAGGGTGACCGGGACATGGTGGTTGTTTGATAAATATTTGTTGACGAATGCATGAACAATGCCATTTAACAACCTCAGGCTGTGGTGAATATTAAATAAGATGACAGTGCAATGCTCCTGGCATAAAGTAAAACTCTCTCTAAATTTAGGTGTTTTCTTTCCTCTTTTTCTTCCGTCACCTTCTGTATCCACACCTTCGGCAAGCAAGTGAGCTTAACCTCAGCCTCAAAACATACCCCAAATTCTCTGAATGAAATTCATTCATCACTATCACTCTAGTCAAGCCACTCTCACCCCTTACATGGTCTACAAATAACAGTCTACTGGCTGATCTCCCTGTTTGTTCCACTTGCTCCTGTTTCTCTCAAACCCCAATCCATGCTCCACAGTCAGAAAGATCTTTTAGAAACACAATTCAGATTATGTCATGCCCCAATTTACTTAATAACACCATCAACAGCCATCACCAGCAGCTTTCTAAGTGTTTAGAATTAGCCCAAACTACTTTACATGGGCTAACCTGCGATTCTCTTAGGCTTCATCTACTTTAGGCTAACTGACTTCCTCTCTCTCTTTTCTGGATTTTTTTATTTTTTGTTTATGTAAGTGAAACATTTTATTCCTTTTTAATTAGTGACTATTTTCTAAAGTTAGGTTACTATATCACATCTTACATACTTTGTTTTTACATGATAAAACATACAAACATGATTTTTATTGCCTTAGTAAATATAAACTTTACTCCTTAGCCATAGTCTCCAAATTTAAAGTCTAACTAATAATTGGAGCAAAAAATGTCTGTACATAGGAGCTCAAGACGATCAAATCTAGAATGTCTATTCATGTCACTCTATGATGTCATCTTTGTCTCTCAGGTCCTCAGTTACATGGATCTACAAAATCTCAAAACAGAAGTGGACCAACCTCTAGAACCAGGCAGGGACAATAGCACGGATGAGGAGAACTTGCTTCGGGCTGCAGGGAACACATGGGAAGATTTCACAAATCAATGTTCAGTCATCTCATGACGCAGACCTTGTATACAAGAGACAACCTGAAACCATCTTTGTGAATTATTTTGGTACAACAGACTGAAAACAGTATCAGCCAAAGATTACATGGGTACTGTTTCTATCTCCAATTACTGTCTTCTGTTCAGCATAAGTTAATCATTTCACTGGACAGTAAAGTTTGTAGCCAAAGATGTAAAAAATGAATAATTTCCTCCAAACCACTGCTCATGTTGTCTGTTAACAACGATCAGTTCAGTTACTACTGCATTCTATCAGACTGCTGCTGCTGTTGCTAAGTCGCTTCAGTCGTATCCGACTCAGTGCAACCCCATAGATGGCAGCCCACCAGGCTCCGCCATCCCTGGGATTCTCCAGGCAAGAGTACTGGAGTGGGTTGCCATTTCCTTCTCCATCTTTTCTGGATTTTAACAAACTTATTTCCATCCTAGTGCTGGTGTATTCTTCTGTCTGAGTCTTTAGCTAGCTGGCTCCTTACTGTCATTTGAACTTCAGCTTAAATGGGGCTTCTTTTGAAATGAAAAGTCACTAATTTGTGTCACTAATGACTAATCCAGTCATTTCTGATCACAGTCCCCACCCCCTTTATTTTTATTTATTTGGCTGGGCAGGGTCTTAATTGCAGCATGTGGGATCTTAGTATCTTGACCAGGGATTGAACCCCTGCCCTCTGCATTGGGACCAAAGAGTACTCTGCATTGGACCACCTGGAAGTCCCTTGTAACACTACTTTTTTTGTTGCACTTAATATTACCTAACATTTACTTATGTTTGTTTCTTCCCAACTGAATTTTAAGCTTGTGAACTCACATACCTTATCTATTGTGTTCATCACTCTATCTTCAAAGATAGAGCAATAACTACAACAATAGTATATGCTTAATAAATATTTGTTGAATAAATGCTTTGATTGTGATAACGATAACAGCTAAAGCTCAGAGGACTTGGCCACAAATTCTAACCATTTTTCAAGGAATAAGAATCGCAGTTCCGAAGTTAGATCCTGGAAGACTACAGAAACCTGACAATAAAAGATCTGGGGCTAAAGTTTGGAGGGGGATATATTACAACTTTGGCCTTTTTTCCCTACCCAAGGACTCCGGAGATCTTGCAGAAGGGAGACCTAGAATCTTTTGACCATAAGTTCCAGCCCAGCCACAACGCTTTTCCATCCACGATTCTTTGCAGCCACTATTGCTAGATTGCAAACGCGCAAACACCTCTAGGACCCCGGGTTCCTTTCTGTTTCTTTATGAATGAACCGGGCCTAGTGTGCGCATGCGCAACTCCTTTTTCTCCCGCTCCACGTGAGGCCCGCCCTTCCCTCCTGCTAACGGCTCCTCCCCTATCCTTTCTAATGGACCAATGGCGAGCGGCCTGGGGGGCGGAGCCCTGAGCGGCGCGGCAGTGTAGTTCCCCGGTCGCCCGGCTCCTTCGCCTTAGTCTTGCTGTGTTGTGATCACGTGGCCAGCTCCGGGCGCGGCGCTTGTTTTGGTTTCCCTCTAGCTTGCCCCTGGCAGCTTCAGAGTGAGCGACTTTCCTGTGCCGGTTGCCACACCTGCCTGCACTGCGACTTTCTCTTCTTGGGGCTCTCTCAGCTCCAAGTTCTGCAAGCCCCTCGGGGCCGGCTCCTGCCATGCCGTTAGTTCGCTACAGGAAGGTGGTCATCCTCGGATACCGTTCTGTAGGTGAGTCCGTCTAGGGCAGAGCACGGATGCACCGCGGCTTTGTGGCCAGAGGAGGCGCACTGCCGCGGGAAGGCGACCCAGGGAGAAATGGTGGCATCCTTAGAACCAGCTTGTAGAGCGAGGACTGAAAGGTTGGAGTTCGAAAGGCTGGGGTGGTGGTAGTGTTCAAGGCGGCAGGAAGCTGGAGCATGGAAGAGTTAACATGGGCTCACTGCTTGAACACCACAGTGGTCCTCAGCGTTCGTTACTCTGGGGGGTGGAGGTGGGGGCAGGATTTGATGGCGGGGGCGCGGTCTGGGTGGGGCAAGTCTCAGGTGTCGGATGCGAGGCTGACTGAATCCTGGGGAATCCGGATCTTCCCAGGAATGGGGTGGGGAAAGACAGCAGGAAAGGCTTCCTGCGTCGCTACTGTATGCATCCGGTGGCCAAGGTGCAGAGACCTGGGGCGAAAAGAGGGTGAAGGAGTCTAAGGGAAAGCATTGCATGGGGCATTCACAGGCTAGGATGCTAATTCGGGGTTTCCTTTAGTCCAGGGCCACAGCCCGAAAGGACAGAGGAAATGAATGTGGATGGGTGATTTGGCTACAATTCCCTCTGCTTCCCACAGGGAAGACATCTTTAGCACATCAGTTTGTGGAGGGCGAGTTCCTGGAAGACTATGATCCTACTGTGGAGAATAGTGAGTAAATTTCTCCCCTTGGGGTGGGGTAGGGAGGGCTTGGGTGCCCCACCCAAGGCCACATTTTGGGATTTTCCGGGTGCCAAAGGGATGATTTAATTAGATATTTAATCTCTTCTCTATCAGTCCTGTTCTGTGAGTGGAGCTAGATTGTGCATTTTCCAAGATACTGAGTCCAGGATAGTGCATGTGTAGACAATAAGAAGCCTAACATTGTATTTTAAGTTTCCTGGAGAGCTCCTTGAACCTGGCCCATCTGTGTTAATATATAGGGACACAGATTGCTCGCCCTACAAGGCACCTCACAGTCAAGTTTTCTTTTCTTTTCAGCTTACAGCAAGATAGTGACTGTTGGCAAAGATGAGTTTCACCTACACCTGGTGGACACAGCAGGGCAGGTACCAGTTTGGGGTAGGGTGTCTAAATGTGGCAGTTCAGTCCTGGGAGATGAAGTCTGGTAGCCTCTGAGGCTCATCTGTAAAGCAGTATGAAAAGGAAGGCATTTTAGCAGTATTTCAGTGCGCAGTACTATTTGGAGCTACTCTATAAATAACTTGTTGGATAGAAGTGACTGGAGTGCGGAGTGCCACAGGGAGGGTCCCCAGGATGCAGCCCACCAAACTTGGCCATCTGAGTCTTGTGAATCAAGGTATTGATGTTTCTGTTTCTCGTCAGGATGAGTACAGCATTCTGCCCTATTCATTCATCATTGGGGTCCATGGTTATGTACTTGTGTATTCTGTCACCTCTCTGCATAGGTAAGTGACCAAGGTTGAGAGTGGGGCACTTGGGAGGACCTGAGGGCTGTCCCAGAATAAAACTGTAAGATTCTTTTCTTGTGTTTAAAGCTTCCAAGTCATTGAGAGTCTGTACCAAAAGCTACATGAAGGCCACGGGAAAACCCGGTACGTGGCACGGGGGATAAAGACATAGTGTGGACACCAGGCAAGAGGGAGGGCAGAGGGGAGTATTGATCCAAATTAAGGAGGAAGCCGGGACGTGGATCCTGTCTGGTTTGATGGGGATTTGTCCAGCTATGATGTGAAGGAGGTGGGGTCCATGCGGAAGAGAGGGAATTCTGTTTTAACTGCTGTTTCCTCCCAGGTTGCCAGTGGTGCTGGTGGGAAACAAGGCCGATCTCTCTCCAGACAGGTACGGAAAACTCTGTAGCTTAAGGCAAAGGAAAGTGAGCTGGTCTAGGAATAAGTCAGGCTCTTGTCCTGGCTCTGCCACTGATTTGAACCAGTCGTTTTACCTCTTTGTTTCTAACTTGGAGATTAAGACAAAATGATCCTTCTATCTCAAAGGCTATAATTTCATATTTCAAGCCTTAGTCCTAGGCTCCTTTGTTTTCTTGTATTTTCTTCTTCCCCAAATCTTCTCCCAAACCTTGGAATGAGATGAGTCAGAGGAAGTCTAGTTTCTGTAAAGATTTTTCAGAGAACATGGGGCCCACTGCTATTCTTCATTTTCATGTCCTGAATTTGCTTCTAGGGAGGTCCAGGCTGTTGAGGGGAAGAAGCTGGCAGCATCCTGGGGTGCAACATTTATGGAGTCATCTGCTCGAAATAATCAGGTACTGGGCCTGAAGAGAAGGTGGTGGGGGTAGCAGTGTTTTTCTTTTCATGCCACTGCTTGGTGGTGGGGATGGTGGGGGAGTGGGGCATTCACCTGAGAGTTGGGTGGTATTGGCAGTGAACTCAACCAGTTTTTTTTGCCCTGAATGTTTATCCCTTGCAGCTGACTCAAGGCATTTTCACCAAAGTCATCCAGGAGATTGCCCGGGTGGAGAATTCATATGGGCAAGAGCGCCGCTGCCATCTCATGTGAGCCCGGAGATGAGCCCTTGAGCAAGGGGCAGCTGCCTTGATTCTGCCCCTGGTACTTTCCAAGCTCCAGTGGGGGCTGGTGGGGGCACCCTCAGGACTTCACGGGTTTGTCTGGTTGCCAGCTGTGTCCCTGACCCTCTAGGTACACAGTGAGGTACCCTCATGTTTGCACACTTACCCAGGCTCCAGTGGCCTGGTTGTCCATGTTTACAAAGAGGCAAGGATGTCTCATGGGCACTGTCCTCTAGCTCTGTTTTTGCTAAATAAATGAACTGTGATAACCTATGGGGTTGGGATATGAGTCCTGGGCATTGTTTATTCAGGACCCAGTCTCCTCTGTAGGTTCTGGGTGTTGGCTGGGTGAGGGGAGCTGGGGACTCCTGAAGCGGAGCTGGCTCCCAGGAGTGTAAATATGCAAATGTAATACAATGTAAATATGCAAATAAACTGAGAAATCTTTTTTTAATTGACTTCTCTGTGTCTGGGGAGCACTCAGGGCCAGTGTCTTCTTTTCTCAGGAGTGATGGATGACTGTGGCCTTTGGTAGAGAATCAAGGTTTTTACTACTCCAACCTTGTTCCTATTCCTTACCCCTCATTCATTCAGGACCATCACCCTAAAACTTAACTACTTATCTTTCCGAACTTTCTTTTCTACCCTGTTCTCCCATACAGGTAACCAACTGACTGCCACTCCCATCCAAATTTGCAGGCTCTCACAACCCTCTTAGCTACAGAAACACCGCCCTCTAGTGGCCAGCTGCCACATGCCGCCCTCCCTTCCCTCCTGGAGCCTTAGGATTTGTTGGAACTCAGGATACATTTGGGTGGGAAGAAAGACCCTTGTTCCTAACGATATAAGAACTGTGAAGTAGTGTGAAGGCAGGGACTAAAGTGTTGTGAAGATTTTAACTTTTTAAGAGAGTTGAATAAAGGAAGAAATAATGCCCCGATCAACCCCAACTCCCTGCCCCTCATCTCCCCAAGTGCCTTTCATTAAAATGGATGTTCTTTGCTTTTTTCATACCTTTCACACTTTTGAAGTTGTGTTACCTTTTCCAGGTGTCAAAGGCTATTGCTTCTGTTCTTATTGACCCACCACCTCAGTAGGAGGATGGGTTCAGCTAGGAAAGTTTGGTCCTAACTGCCTTTACTCCCACCCCTTCCCCAGCAGCCCTAGGTCCTAAGTGGTCTAATACCTCCTCCAACAACTTATAAGGGTGACCTGAATGGTATCCTTCACAGGAAAAGCATAGAATTCTGCCAACTGGAAGAGCCTGAGGTCCTCTGTCAATGCACTTAGTTGGGAAAAACGGACAAAATCGGTGTGATTTTTAGCTATGACCTTGTTATTGCCTGGCTTCAGGCTAGGTGGACTTATAATTGAGGTTGACGGTCTGTCATGCTTGTTTTTAAAAAAGCCAGCAGCTTTTGCATCTCTGATAGAGAATCTAAAAAGAAATAAGGGCTGCAGAAAAAAGCATATTCCAAAGAGCAATCTCTAGGGGCTCAGGAATCTCTTTAGGGTTCTCATCACCCTCTCTCCTTACATTTTATGCACATAGGTCTTTATGCACATCAGACCTGGAATTCTCATTACAGGTATCTATACTATTGTTATGTCCATGAGGTTTGAAATGGAATAACAAATATCAGGGTTTTTTTTTTTCTTCCTTAGTTCATGTCAGACAGGTAATGTGCCGATGTCGTAACAAGGTTTGGAGGGAGGCACATGTCACGCAGCAGCGTGAACACCCAATCATGCTCATGAACTACAAAAGGATCAAATATCAGGTTTTTGAGAGGCATATCAAACAATCTCAAAGCCCGATAGTAGTAAAGAATAGTGGTTAATGGCTGGGTTAAAAGAGTTATTCTTCCACTTAACTGTGTGATGCTGGGAAGACACTTAAACTCTCTGAGCCTCTGAACCTCTCTTAGTTTCTCATTTATTAAGTGTAGTTAAACCTTCCTCATAGGATTGAGGTAAGAATAAAACCAAGGTGATATATGAAATGCTTAGCATAGGTCCTCATACATAATAAACCCTTAAAAGATGGCTATTGTGTATTATTTGAGGTTTTTCTGGTGAGGGTCTGCTTCCCAGCCTCTGAGTGCAGAAAGTAGGGACAGGCCTTCCATTTACAGCTGAGGAGTTACTGCTGGACTTTTTTGCTGAATTAGACCTGAATGGTCAGTGCAGAGCATGTCAGTGTCTGGCTAGCCAAGACATACCTAGTCCTGATCTCTCCTATGACTCTGGCCAGTAGGCATTTAGGTCTGCACTGTCCAATATAAAAGCTACAAGTCATATATTGCTATTTAGTTTTAAAATTTTATAAAATTAAAAGTTCCTCAGTTGCTCCAATTACTTTTCAAAGTACCCAATAGCTATATGCGACTAAGCCACACGAGTGTATAGGGCATTTCTATCACTGCAGAAAGTTCTATTAGACAGCACTGTAAACCCCTTCCTACAAAACCAGCCCTGCACCTGGTTTGCCTGTGTCTTTCTCCACATATTAAAATAAAAAATTTAAAAATATATTTATATACACATACACACATCTCAGGACAAACATGGCCATTGGCTTGCATTACGGCAAGGCTCAACTTCTCACTAGATGTGGTTTGTTGAACAAGTTTATGTATTTTAGTGTCACTCTCTTCATCTGTAATATAGATATAATTCCACATTAATTCATAGCGAGCTGAGGAATAACTAAGAATATATTAAGTATCCAGCGCATTTGTTAATTTGTCTCCTCCTGTCTATCCCGTGGGTAGAGTTAATGCAGAAAAGTCATTCCAATCCTTTCTCATCCAGACTGATTGGGGGGGGGGGGGGGGGGGCGGGGGTCCCTGCAAGATGTTTTGGGATCTTGCGTAGAATAACAGTACTCTGGCCAGGTAGCAAGGCTACAAGTTACATGCCCTCTGTTTACTGAAAACGGGGGGCGGGGGGGGGAGTGCTGGGGAGCACAGGCCCTGAAGATTCGGAAAGAAGGGCTGGGGCTGGGAGCACCCGGGAAAGGAGGGGAAACTGCATTTCTGTTTTGACAGGGGAGGTGATTGTGGAGGCACTAACAGTCCCCTTTCCTCTCGAGGGGGGTTGAGAGCCAGAAGGAACGACTAGGGACTCGTTCCGCTTTCCTTTAGGCCCCCGAACGTGGCAGGAACCCACCCTTTGCAGCGCCAGGCGCCGTGCCTCACTTTCTCCATTTGCGGACTCCAGTTCCCAGGATGCAGAGCAGCGGCCAATCTCCAGGCTCTTCTTCCATCCCCCTCCCGGGGAAGATTGCTCCTGGCTAAGGCAAGGGGCAGTTAAGAGTTTCAGGGACCGATAACTCCAGCGAAACGGAATTAGAAAGTGCCCAGAGTCCTAGTTTCGCTAGCCTGGTGGTAAAGGAGGCAGTTCCAGGGCCGGGGCGAAGAGGAGGGGGGCTTCATTCCCACGTGTCTGCACAGCGGCCGGCCCGGCGCAGTCGGGGTTAACCTGTGGCGGAGGGATCCCGCTGCGTGTGCGTAGAACTGCAGAGTCACAGCCTTTCCTCCGAGAGGACCGGATCCCTCCGCCGCTCCGCTCCAACACAAAATAGGGCCGCGTCTTCTCCTTTCTCCCCTTCTGGAGTGGGGTTCCCCGGGCAAAAGGGCCACCCGGATCTCGCGCCGGAGGCTTCCTGAATCTCCACGACCGCTGCCGAGATCTCGGGCCAGGAAATAGCCCCTTCGCAGGAACCACCCTACCGGCCGAACAGGAGGCGGAGGGGGGGGGGAGGCGGAGCGGCGCCGCGCTGCACTACTTTCCTCTCCGGTTGCAAATGGCTGCCTCGTTCCCCACTTTCCGCTCAGTTTCCTGACCCCCCGGCGCCGGGAGCCGGGGTTGGGCCATGCACCTCTAGGCCCCCCGCGATCACAGCCAGCCGGGGGTCGAGGGGGTGCCGCCGATCAGAGCCGGCCAGGCCGGGGGCGGGGCAGCTCCCGAGGCCAGAGGGGAAGGGAGGCGAGCGCAGGGCCTGGAGCGGCCGGAGGGGAGCGGGCAGAGGGCTCGCACCGCCCGCCCCTTCCTCTTCCTCGCCCACCTACCCTCCTCCCTTCCCCGGGGGGAGCAGAAGGTGGGGGGCTCGAAGCCGCCGAGGAAGAGTGCTCGGGGTCGAGGAGCCCAGCGCTGGGTGTGTGTCAGGTTCAGCCCCGCGGCCCCGCCGGCTCCGTGTCGCCGTAGCTCGCGCGGCCCCGGGGTGCCGGCCCGAGGGGGAAAGGGGCTCGGCGCTCCTGCGAGGGTCTCACGTTCCATCCGGGCCCGGCGCGGCGGCGCGGCATTCCTTCCGGGCTGCTGGGGAGGCGCCTCGACGTTCCATCTGGAGAGCCTCGACGTTCCGCCCGAGCCCGGCGCGGGCGGCCGGGGCGCTGGCCCGGCCCTAGGACTGAGAGGCCGCCCGGCGACGCGGATGCGGAGCCCGCTCGCCCAAGATCAAAGCCACCGGTGCTCTCTTTGTGTCCGCTCGGGATTCGCCGCCCTGGGGCTGTCCATGGAAACCTAAACTGCTGGAACCCGAGGCAGAGAACCCTTCTTCGGCTTCTTGCTTTTTTTTTGAGGGGGGGGGGAGGGTGGCCACTCCGACCTGGATTTACCGTTCTTGGCCCCCTTAAGCCCCCCCGTGCGGGGGGCGGCTGTGATCGCTCTGGCGGTTGGAGGTCGGGGAGCGGCCCGGGCTCTGGCCATGTTCTCGGATGAGGATTTCTGGATCGCCCTGTGAAGAGGTGAGTGAAGTCCGCCCGGCCAGGGCCCAGAAAGGGTTGGACTGGGGGCATAGCCAGATGGACTATCTTGGCCCGAGCTGGCCTGTAGGTTGGAGAAAGGGGTGCCAGAGCTGAGGAGGGTTCCTTTGGCAGGGTCTGTCAAGGGAACCTGAGCCAGTCGCCAGAGGAGAACCGAGGCCTGGTGTCCTGGGGTGTGCCTCTTTAAAGACTGGGGGGTTCAGGGAACCACGGGAGTTTGGGAACCTGGCCAGAAAGTCTCTCTGCCTGTTTATTTTTGTGTTGGGGGGAGCTCTACTAAACTGGGACCCAAGCCCTGATGCCAGCACCAATCCCAGTCAGCTGCTTCTCCTTCAGGGTTCCTTGTGGGCCTTGGGAATAGAACAACTTGGGAGCGGGGGTAGGGTGCCACTGCCAGGTCAGACTTAGTGCCAGGTTGGACTTTAAGGTTGTTCTTGCTCATCCGGGCACCCAGAGCAGTCTCTGGGAGACTCCAGGAATCCTGATTCCTGCACTAGGCCTTATTTCACTGTGCAAGGGGCAGAGTGTGTGGAAACTGACTATTGTGATGAAGGAGGTGGCTGGGGCAAGAAGGAGGCGGGGCTGGGGGCAGCTCTGGCCTTGCTGGTCAACTTTAAACTACCCTTGCCTGGCAAAGTGACCCCAACGAGGCCTAGTGCTGTCTTAGCCTGCTTTGCCTTCCCTCCTCTTGGGATGGGCATAATCTCTAGGGGATTATAGAGGAGGCCGTTGAGATTTGCTCCCTGCGAATGTGGGCTGCAAAAAATGGCTTTTGTCTCCCTCTTTCTCTGGGCCTGGTCGCCCATAAGTCTCTGGCCAGTCCTGCAGGGCCCCTCCCAGACCTCGCCAACCTTTTTCAGTCAGGGAATGTTAACTAGTGCTGTGATCCTGTCCCAACCCTGCAGAATAGGGTGGCCTGTACCTCTTTGGAGGAGAAATGACCTGATAGAAACATGTCTGTGAAGCCAGTGTTTTCAGCCCTGGCAGGAGGTGTTAGGGAGAAGGGGTGTGTGTGTGATTGCATGTAGGGTGCAGCGTGAGCCTAATGCCTCTGGACCCTGGGCTGGGACAGCCCCTCTCACAGCTGTCATTGCTGCCCAGCCAGGATTTAGCTGCTGTATTTTGCTCCCTCACTCTGTCCCCTCCAACATACAGAGGCTCGACCACTTTGAGCCTGGTCTTGGAAAGGACAGAATAGGGGTTTGCCCTTGAAAGGTTTTTGGGTGGTAATCCCGAGGCGAGAGGTGGCACAGGGGTGCTGAAATGAGGCTAGCTGTCACCCATGCTGTCTGCCCTTGCCTCCTGTGGAGGGCCTCTCTGGCTGGCTGTCCCTAAAGAACTTCCTTAAGAGACACCACTCCTTTTTGGCTGTAGCTGACCCTAGGATGACCCAGGGATAGTTTGGAGGGTCTCTGGAGCCCCTGTTGCCATTTAGGTTCTTCCCTGGAGGGCCAGCCCAAAATGGGGGTGGGGAGAGGTGTGGTTTGATTCTCAGGCTGGGAACCAGGAAGTCCTGAGTCCTACAGAAGAGCTGTTCACTCAAGGGCCTGCTTCAGCCTTTCACCTCTCCAAACCTCATTTCCCCTTTGGCTGGCATAATGGAGCTAAAGCTTTTGGTCTGGGATGGAGGCAGGGAGGAGAGTGGGTTGAGATGAATCCCTGCTTTCTTCCTTGCTGTCCTGGGCCTCTTCAGCCTGGGATCAAATGGACCCACCACGGTTTCACTCCTTAGATCTGTGTTTTTCTGGGATCCCTAGTTCCCTTGAGGAAGCCTGGCCAGGCCTTAATCCAGTTTAGATCTGGGGAAAAACCCTTGGTGTATATGTATGTTTCTGGCTGTGAACGCTGGGACAGGGGAACCTGTGGTTTTTACTTATTTAGATCTGTTCAGGGGCCTGACAGCTAGTACTCAGCATTGGGGGGCAGGTGCTGGACTGCCGTGTAGGGAAATGGGACTCCTTAGAAGAGCCTCTGGATTCTCTTTGGTCCAGCTTGGAGGACACTCAGCCCTTGGCTTATCTCTCATCTTCCATGATCCCATAAATGAGGCTGCAGCTTTGGAGGATGTTGGTACTGTTTCCCAAGGCTAGGTGAAGGTGGTTTCTCCACCTCCCCAGGCAGAGCCAGCGTTACCAGCTTGAGAGGGCTGCGCTCGGGGGAGGGCGGAGGAATTTGTCCCTCTGGCCTTGTGTGAGGCAGTCCTCCCACCCACTGCGCTATCACTGTTGCTTTTGATTTCTTGCTGTTTGTGACTCCTTTAGCCTCAACTTTGAGAGCACAACAGTTGGAAGCTCTTGGGGGCATTTAGTGGTAAGGTACCACAAAAGTTGCACATGTTTGAGAAACTTTGAAGCCTTCTGGGTGTGGTCAGGCCTTGAATGGCTGAATAGGAAGAGGAGCCTAGCTGGTTCCCTGACCTCCAACCCCTACTTAACATAGGTGGCTTCTGGGGGGCCCGTGAAGTGCCGGAGCATCTTTTCTCTGGGCTGGCTAGATGACCACCCTGCTTTCCTTTTAGATGTGATTATGTGAGTGACAGGTTTGGGAAAGAGATGATCTGGGAATAAAGGTAACTGGTATCAGGTGATATTTCACATTCCCAATCTAGAATCTAATAGTGTAAAGGGAAAAAAGTAAAAAATTTCCCTTCCTGTGGCATGTCTCATGAGGCCCATTGCCAGTCTCTGGAAATGGAGTATTAACTCAGGGAAAGAGCACTGATAGTGTGGTTCTTAGGTAATTGATTTATGGATCCTGGGCACCTTTGAGGGTTCCCCCAGTCTCATCTGCCCCATGCGCTCAACCCCAAGTGGCTGACTCGGGTATTTGGTGTGGGGAGAGAGGCTTGTCTTTGCAAAGGTTGCTGTGGTCCTTCTGGTTAAATAAGAGGAGTGGAAAAGGTGAGAGAGAAATTTCTCAAACTTTCATTTAGAGTTCTGTAACCTGCTCCACCTGCTCTGGGAAAATTATACTTTCTATAGTTTCTCTGCTTAAGCCCCTACCCTTCCCACTAAGAGCTGTTGGCACCTGTCCCTTTCTTCCTTCTTCTGTAGGACTCCCTTTCTCTTCCTCAGCTCTGTAATTCTTTACTTCTCTCTTTTTTGTACTGTGTTTATTAGTTTTCTCTGAAATTTAGGAAAATATGCCCAAAAGTGTGGATCTTGACCTTCTTAGATGTAACTTCAGTGTGTTTCATTTGGCTCTGGGATAGGCAGGCATATCTTAGAAGAGGGGACCGTTACCCCCCACCCCCATAGTGTGTGTGGAAACCCTGCCTGACGGAAGAGGAAGGAAGCTGCTTTGCTGTGTCCTGCCCCCGTTTAGAACAGCTCCAAGTGGCTGTGTGCTTCCTGAGACTACAACTCCCAGCATGCCTAGCGTCAGGCCTGGCTACACATGCTCAGTAACTCTGAAGGCCCACTTCTGTTAACTTCTAGGGACATCTGAGGAGGAAGGGCAGTTGGCGTTGCTAAGGGCAACGACCTGAGGCCTTCAGGCTAGGTGAGAACTTGCGCTCAGTCATGGCAGGGGCCAGGGGGTGGACCTAAACTAGATTTAGATGGGCAGTGGGTGGGAAATGGGGAGTTTCTTCTGTTATGATTGGAATATTCTGGTTGAAACCAGTGGAGGTGGGGGAGATCCATCCATAGCTGGTTATTCGTTCTAGTAACTTGTTCTACATCTTGCAAGACCCAAATTTGGTCTCCAGTAGAGGGGTTTCAGCTGAACTCAGACTTCTTGGTTTATGACTACTCCTGGGTTGGCGCAGAAACTAGGATGGTAGTTGACTTGAGAACTGAGGGAAAAGTCCAAGGGATAGGGCCTGCCAGAAGCCAAGAACTCAGATGTGAGGCAAAGGGTGGTACTAGATGTAGATTGTGGGTGCTTCTGGTTGTCCTGGGAACTCTTAAGCAGGAGGTGGGAAGTGGATCCCCTGGGAATTCAGAGTGGAAGAAGAGGATATGTGTTTATTGGAAGGGAAATAGACGGTGGGACAAGGGTTGGGGAGAAGGATTTTCTTTGTCATTAGTACAGGAGTTTGTAGGTGTGATTTTGCTCTGATTTCTATAGGTTCTAGATAACATTAGCTGCCTTCTCCTCAGGATTTGGAGGAAAGTGTTGAGTGGGAAGACTTCCCAGACAAATAGATATCTCTTGGCCCTGACAGGTCTCCCCGAGAGGGCTCTGCCCAGTCGGAGAGAGGGATGGACAGCCCGAAGCCGCCTGGTGAGGATAAAGATTCGGAACCAGCAGGTGGGTAGGACAAACACTGGGTTTCTGTTCTTCGCAGGAAATCTTAGATTTCTGGTTCTAGCACAGGGACAGAAGCTAAGTCTGTCTGATAGGTAATAATTGAAGGACTTTGTTCTTTGGGACAGAAGTTGAAATGCCATCACTGTTATCCACCAAGGGTTTTGGGTAATCTCATGGGTCTGATGAGTGGACTGGTATTAAACAGAGGATAATGGCTGATACATGTTTCTTCTCTGTTCATTCAGCTGATGGACCTGCAGCCTCCGAGGAGTCAGGTGCCACTGAGCCAGACCTTCCCAAAACACATGTTGGGGAGGTCTCTGTGCCCAGTTCTGGGGGTCCCCAGCTTCAGGAGCCTCCCCAGGACCGCAGGTAACTAGTTTGGGGAAATGCGGATATAAGGCGGTATGAAGACTTGATTTGAGCATCTGGGGCTTTCAAAGTGGAAGATTTAGGAGATGAGTGTTTGGGAAGCATAGGGGTGCCAAGTCGTGGGGTTGTTGAGGGTGCCCGTGGGCAGGACTGGCGTGGTGCTGATGCTCGTGTGTTCACAGCGGGGGTCCAGTGCGGCGTTGTGCTCTCTGTAACTGCGGAGAGCCCAGTCTACATGGTCAGCGGGAGCTACGGCGCTTTGAGTTGCCATTTGACTGGCCCCGGTGTCCCGTGGTGTCCCCTGGGGGGAACCCAGGGCCCAGTGAGGGAGCACTGCCCAGTGAGGACCTATCACAGATTGGTTTCCCTGAGGGCCTGACACCTGCTCACCTGGGAGAACCTGGAGGTAAGGGAAGGGAAATGGGGTAGGGGCTAGGTGGTCCTGAACCAGGGGTCACGTTCTCGTTAACTGTTTTCCCTCTTTTCACCTATAAAGGGTCCTGCTGGGCTCACCATTGGTGCGCTGCGTGGTCGGCAGGCGTATGGGGGCAGGAGGGCCCAGAACTATGTGGTGTGGACAAGGCCATCTTCTCAGGGATCTCACAGGTGGGGCGGGGGCCAGGGGATGGCACAGGCAAAGGGCAGGGTCGGCAGGGGGCATCCTGGGGGAGAGCTGGTGCCTGGCCTGTGGCTCTGGAGAGCGCTGGCCGGTGCTGAGGCTTTGTCTCCTCTCTGGCAGAGCTGCTCCCACTGCACCAGACTTGGTGCCTCCATCCCTTGCCGCTCGCCTGGATGTTCACGTCTTTACCACTTCCCCTGTGCAACTGCCAGCGGTTCCTTCTTATCCATGAAAACATTGCAGCTGCTATGCCCAGAGCACAGTGAGGGGGCCGCACATCTGGGTGAGGAGTCCCGCCCCTTGGACAGAGGACACGTGGGGGTCCACGGCTGCTGGGGTTTTTATGCTCTGCAGAGTGCCCTGAAGCCTGTAATTACGTGCTGTCAGTCTGCCCCATGAAAATAGGCGTGGACTCTTGAGTGCAGTGGCTTTGCCCATCTCATTTACCATGGTCTCTGCAGCGCCTGGGTTTTCCAGGTGGCACTAGTGGTAAAGAACCCGCCTGCTAGTGCAGGAGAAGTTAGAGACGTGGGTTCAATCCCTAGTTGGGAAGATCCCCTGGAGGAGGGCATGGCAGCCCACTCCAATATCCTTGCCTGGAGAATCCCATGGACAGAGGAACTTTGTGGGCTACAGTCCATGGGGTCTCAAAGAGTTGAACACGACTGAAACAACGGAGCGTACATGCACAATGCAGTGCCTAGAGCAGTGCCTGATGTGTTAGGCAGACACTTAGAAACTGTTCATTCTGTGTCTGCGGAATGCCGGTCATGTAGACAGCACTGTGCTGAGTCCTATAAGGAACCCATAGCTGACCTGTGTCATCCTTCCCTTCCTACTGCAGAGGAGGCTCGCTGTGCAGTATGTGAGGGGCCAGGGGAATTGTGTGACCTGTTCTTCTGTACCAGCTGTGGGCATCACTATCACGGGGCCTGTCTGGACACTGCTCTGACTGCCCGCAAGCGTGCTGGCTGGCAGTGCCCTGAATGCAAAGTGTGCCAAGCTTGCAGGTACAAGTGGGAGGGCAGGAGGGAACCTTAGGTGAAGCACGGGTCAGGGTTGAAGAGCAGGGCAGGGAGAACCCTGTTATGTGCCCTCGCAGGAAACCTGGGAATGACTCTAAGATGTTGGTCTGTGAGACGTGTGACAAAGGATACCATACCTTCTGCCTGAAACCACCAATGGAGGAACTGCCTGCTCACTCTTGGAAGTGCAAGGTGAGTGTGCCCCAATGCTGCCTTACTCTCCCTAATTCCACCTGCTGCAGTGCCCCAGGTTTCTCTGTGGGGACACGCTCTGTGCTCTCCTCCCATCTCTGCGTCTCTGCTGTCTGACCAGTGGCCATTTTGCTTGTTCCCTGCCTCTAGGCATGCCGGGTGTGCCGGGCCTGTGGGGCAGGCTCAGCTGAGCTGAATCCCAACTCTGAGTGGTTTGAGAACTACTCGCTCTGTCACCGCTGTCACAAAGTCCCGGGAGGACAGCCTGTCAGTTCTCTTGCTGAGCAGCACCCCCCAGTCTGTAGCAGGTAAATCTGGATTGACAGAGGTTGGGAGGGGGCCTGGGAGGTACTGAGATGGGCAGGGGTTGTGTTCAAGCAAACAGCCTTTGAGGGGAGGGCCCTCAGGTGAGCAGTACATTCCAGAGCATCCATGCCCGAGCCCTGTGTGCTCTAGAGGGGTCGGTGGGTGATGTGAGTCTGCTTCCCGTGCCCTCTGCAGATTCTCACCCCCAGAGCCTGGCGCTACCCCCACCGATGAGCCCAATACTCTGTACGTTGCGTGCCAAGGGCAGCCAAAGGGTGGACACGTGACCTCTATGCAACCCAAGGAACCGGGGCCCCTGCAATGTGAAGCCAAACCACTAGGTGAGTAGGGTTTGAGGGTTCCTGAAAGTAATCCCCTTCTATCCTGTAGCAAGGGCCAATCTCTGCTTTGCCCCAACCCTGTACTTGCTGTGGGGGTGCAGCTGAGCTAGGTAGGAGCAGAGTGTGTTATGTCTGCAGGGAGAGAAGGGGCCCAACTTGAGCCCCAGTTGGAGGCCCCCCTAAATGAGGAGATGCCACTGCTGCCCCCACCTGAGGAGTCGCCCCTGTCCCCACCACCTGAGGACTCACCCACGTCCCCGCCGCCTGAGGCATCGCGCCTGTCCCCACCGCCTGAGGACTCACCCCTCTCTCCACCGCCTGAGGAGCCTCCTCTGTCTCCCCCGCCTGAGTCACCACCCTTCTCTTCCCCAGAGGACTCCCCCCCACATCCCCCACTTGATACACCCTTACCCCCACCACCTGAAACGTCACCCCTGTCCCCACCACTGGAGGAGTCTCCTCTGTCCCCTCCCCCCGAGGAATTACCTACTTCCCCACCACCGGAAGCATCTCGCCTGTCTCCACCACCGGAAGAATCACCCATGTCTCCGCCACCTGAAGAGTCACCCATGTCTCCGCCACCTGAGGCTTCTTGTCTGTTCCCACCATTTGAGGAGTCACCCCTGTCCCCTCCACCCGAGGAATCTCCTCTCTCCCCGCCACCTGAGGCATCACGCCTATCCCCACCACCTGAGGACTCACCCATGTCCCCACCACCTGAAGACTTGCCTATGTCCCCCCCGCCTGAGGTGTCACGCCTGTCCCCTCCGCCTGAGGAGTCTCCCCTGTCACCACCACCTGAGGAGTCTCCCACATCCCCTCCACCTGAGGCTTCACGCCTGTCCCCTCCACCTGAGGACTCCCCTACATCCCCGCCACCTGAAGACCTGCCTGCTTCCCCGCCTCCGGAGGACTTGCTCGTGTCCCTGCCGCTGGAGGAGTCACCGCTATTGCCACTGCCTGAAGAACTGCGACTCTGCCCCCGGCCCGAGGAGCCACAGCTGTCCCCTCAAGCTGAGAAACCGCGCCTGTCTCCTGCGCCCCAGGAGCCGCGTCTGTCTCCCGCATCCCAGGAGCCGCATCTGTCCCCCGCACCCCAGGAGCTGTGCCTGTCTCCCGCACCTGAGGAGCCACGCCTGTCCCCTGCACCCCAGCAGCTGTGCCTGTCCCCGGTGCCCGAGGAGCCACGCCTGTCCCCCGCACCCCAGCAGCCGCACCTGTCCCCTGTGCCCCAACAGCCGCACCTGTCCCCTGTGCCCGAGGAGCCACGCCTGTCCCCCATGCCCAAGGAGCTGCGCCTGTCCCCTGCACCCCAGGAGCCCCGCCTGTCCCCCGCGCCTCAGGATCTGCACCTGTCCCCCGTGCCGGAGGAGCCACATCTATCCCTTGCATCCGAGGAACCACGCCTGTCCCCCCGGCCTGAGGAACCACGCCTGTCCCCTCGACCTGAGGAGCCACGCCTGTCCCCCCAGCCTGAGGAACCACACCTGTCCCCTCGACCTGAAGAGCCCACTGAGGAGCCAGGCCTGTGCCCTGCATCTGAGGAATTGCCCTTATTCCTCCCACCCAGGGAGCCACCCTTATCCCCCATGCTTGGAGAGCCGGCCCTGTCTGAGCCTGGGGAACCACCTCTGTCCCCTCTGCCTGAGGAGCTGCCGTTGTCCCCACCTGGGGAGCCATCTTTGTCACCTCAGCTGATGCCACCAGGTAAGGGGCTGTTAGTACCCTGTTACTCTGGGATGGTCTTCACTCTTGATGACACATGTAATCTAAGAGCCTCTCTTTTCCTCCAGATCCTCTTCCTCCTCCACTTTCACCCATCATCACAACTGTGGCCCCACCAGCCCTGTCTCCGTTGGGAGAGTTAGAGTACCCCTTTGATGCCAAAGGGGACAGTGACCCTGAATCTCCATTGCCTGCCCCCATCCTGGAGACACCTATCAGCCCTCCACCAGAAGCTAACTGCACTGACCCTGAGCCTGTACCCCCTATGATACTTCCCCCGTCCCCAGGCTCCCCCATGGGACCGGCCTCTCCCATCCTGATGGAGCCTCTTCCCCCTCGTTGTTCCCCGCTCCTCCAGCATTCCCTGCCTCCCTCAAGCTCACCTCCTTCCCAGTGCTCTCCTGCCCTGCCACTGTCGGTTCCTTCCCCGCTGAGTCCCATGGACAAGGCAGTGGAGGTCTCAGAAGAGGCTGAGCCGCAGAAGATGGAGACTGAGAAAGCCTCAGAACCTGAGTGCCCAGCCTTGGAACCCAGCCCTACTAGTCCTCTTCCGTCTCCTCTGGGGAATCTTTCCTGCCCTGCACCTAGCCCTGCCCCAGCCCTGGATGACTTCTCTGGCCTGGGGGAAGATACAGCCCCTCTGGATGGGACTGACACTCCTGGTTCACAGCCAGAGGCTGGACAGACCCCTGGCAGTTTGGCTAGTGAACTTAAGGGTTCCCCTGTGCTCCTGGACTCTGAGGAGCTGGCCCCTGTGACCCCTATGGAGGTCTATGGCCCAGAATGCAAGCAGGCAGGGCAGGGCTCACCCTGTGAAGAGCAAGAGGAGCCACGTGCACCTGTGGCCCCGACCCCACCTACTCTCATCAAATCCGACATCGTTAATGAGATCTCCAATCTGAGCCAGGGCGATGCCAGTGCCAGTTTTCCTGGCTCAGAGCCCCTGCTGGGCTCTCCAGACCCCGAAGGGGGTGGCTCCCTGTCCATGGAGTTGGGGGTATCTACAGACGTTAGTCCAGCCCGAGATGAGGGCTCCCTGCGGCTCTGTACCGACTCGCTGCCAGAGACTGATGACTCGCTATTGTGTGATGCTGGGACAGCTATTGGAGGAGGCAAAGCCGAGGGGGACAAGGGGAGGCGGCGCAGCTCCCCAGCTCGTTCCCGCATCAAACAGGTAAGGGGCTATCCAGCCACTGGATGTGTTTGATGTCCTGTCACTGTCAGAGGTACGGTTCTGTGTCACTCACTGATACCTTTCCACCTGACTTATCGAATCCTAGGTTCTCAGAGATCCTTGAGTTCATCTTGTTACTTTATTAAAGAGAACACCAGTAACAGAGGGGAAAGTAACTCGCCCAGGTTCTTGGTTACTCAGTCAATAGAATCGGCATTAGAAACTCAGATCTCTCAAGCCGGTTTTTTTCTCACTGTCCAGTACCATGTTGGCCACTCTTCTTGGAAGATCAGGAGTGGTTTGGACCAGAGCTACCTACCTGTTGCTACTCGAGAGTTTGGTCTTCCTCCCTGGCCCTGACTGGGAAGCTTGGACTTTGTTACCTGCCTTTGTCTCTGGCCCTTTGTCCCTTCTCTTGCCTCTAAGCCTATGGACCCCACCTCTTAGCCCTCTGCTTCTCCTGTAATCACCCGTTTCCCTCACTCAGGGTCGCAGCAGTAGTTTCCCAGGGAGACGCCGGCCACGTGGAGGAGCACATGGAGGACGTGGGAGAGGACGGGCCCGGCTAAAATCAACTACTTCTTCCATTGAGACTCTGGTAGTAAGGAGAGGCCTCCCATCCCCCAAACATGCTTCAGCTGGCCCCTTCAAGATTAAACACCCTTTAAATCCTGCCAGTCCCCTGCACGCTCTGCCTGCCTGCTAGCGTAGGGCCTGTCCAGCTATGTCTGTGCTCCTTCTGTCCTCTTGGCCCCCAGGCTTCTCTGAAATGTGATGTTGGGCTGAGGCCCAGTTTGGGAGCTGGGGTGTTCTTCTGCTTCTTAGTCCTGGCTCCTGGCCTTCATCTTAGCCGGGGGTTTATGCCGCCTTCCCCCAACACCAAAGAGGAAAGCAGCTTAGTGGGGGCAGATTTAGCTGCCTCACTTTGCACAACTCTCTGCCTATAAGGTTGCTGATATCGATAGCTCTCCCAGCAAGGAGGAAGAAGACGATGATGATGATACCATGCAAAATACTGTGGTTCTCTTCTCCAACACAGACAAATTTGTGCTAATGCAGGTACTGTACTTGACTCAAGTAGTCGCATCTTCAGCAGTAAGACCTGGCAGACTGAACGCCAGGCTGGCATTTGGATGTATGTGTTTTGGTGGGAGGGTAAATGAAGAAAACCAGAGGCCTACTTCTCAGAATACCAGAAAATGAGCTTGACACTGAACTGGGAGCTGGGAATGTAGCAGTGAAAAAGGCAGAGATGATTTCTGCTCTATTGAAGCTCCTAGTCTAGGGATCATGAGTAATCTTGAAGCTACAAAATTTGTCGCATATGTTACTGTGATCCTGATCAGTCTTCACCCACCTTATCTTTCACTTCTCATTACCTCTATCCACGGTAGGCTGTATCATTTCAGATTACCTGATCAGACGAGCAAGGCAGCCCAGGAAGGAGGAGGGTCCCGTGATGGCTCACTGTGTCCTAATGCAGGGATAGGCTTTTGGTTCTCTGACTCCCTCCTGTTGGATTAGTGTCACAGTCAGTTACGGGGACTGAGTGGTGTTGAGGATGTGAGGTGGGACATTGGGGTTTCTGTGTGTTTCCCCAGGACATGTGTGTGGTGTGTGGCAGCTTTGGCCGGGGGGCAGAGGGCCACCTCCTTGCCTGTTCCCAGTGCTCCCAGTGCTATCATCCTTACTGTGTCAACAGCAAGGTGAGTTCAGGGCTCCAGCGATCTGGTCTGGAGAATGGGGTCAGTTCTTGCTTATCCTAGCTCTCTTTCCTGGCCACTCTACTTAAAGTGGTCATTGGTTATGGAACTTGTTCATCATTTTCCAGTGGCTGTCAAATTCATCTTGGGTAAAATGTTTTGGAAACCATAGTGGTCTTATGGGTTTCTTTGTTACAGATCATGACTTACTGGTATAGTTGAGTACATTGTATAAATTGTGAGAACTTTTCTAGTAGGAAACATGCTCTGGATATAAAATATAAAATCAGAACCAAACACATGTCCACAAAGAGAAAGCAATGTTTTTGACTCAAGCATGATCAGTCATTTTGGGGTTTTCATTAACATTTAGAACTTGTCCACTGCTAACATTCACCAACTTGCAGCAGTAGCAGGTTCTACGTGTTCATGAAAAGCTGGGGGAAGTACAACCTGGCTAGTGAAAGATCTTAACAAGGCAGTGGCTGGGTGAGGCTGTTCTTTGATCAGCGGAGATCCCTGGAAGCCTGTTTAAGAGCCACTATTTTAGGGGTGAGGGTGCTCCGTGTATCCTCCCTGTGCGCAAATGAAGGTCTGGCCTGGGTACGGGAATCCTTCAGTCCCAGCTCTGTAAGTCCCAGCACCCTTAGAGAGGTCTGCCCTGCCCTCTGCATCACCCCCTGAGGAATTGCCATCTCCTGCACCAGATCACCAAGGTGATGCTGCTGAAGGGCTGGCGTTGTGTGGAGTGCATCGTGTGCGAGGTGTGTGGCCAAGCCTCAGACCCCTCCCGCCTCCTGCTCTGTGATGACTGTGACATTAGCTACCACACGTACTGCCTGGACCCCCCACTGCTCACCGTGCCAAAGGGTGGCTGGAAGTGCAAGTGGTAAGGAGACCAGCAACTTCAGATGGGCCTGACATGTTAAGAGTGGGTATGATGTTGAATACATGGCCGAGGCTGGGTTTTGGAGGCCAGGCTGGTTTGGGTACTCTGGGTAGGTTAGGTGTTGAGGGTCTGTCTTTCTGCCCCCACCAGGTGTGTGTCTTGTATGCAGTGTGGGGCCGCCTCCCCTGGCTTCCACTGTGAATGGCAGAATAGTTACACACACTGCGGGCCCTGTGCCAGCCTGGTGACCTGCCCTATCTGTCATGCCCCCTACGTGGAGGAGGACCTGCTGATCCAGTGTCGCCATTGTGAACGGTGAGGGTGCCCGTCTCCCCCAGATAGGCTCCCCATCCCTGTTTTCAGCCTCGCGTTGTTTCCATTCACTTCCTCCTGTCTCCTTTCTCCCAGGTGGATGCATGCCGGCTGTGAGAGCCTCTTCACAGAGGATGATGTGGAGCAGGCAGCTGATGAGGGCTTCGACTGTGTCTCCTGCCAGCCTTACGTGGTCAAGCCTGCTGGTGAGTCCCGGATGCTAGGGAACGGGGAGGAGGGGCCGGCACAGGGGTGCCTTGCTCTGGGCCAGGGCCTCCAGCTGTTTGTCCTTTCCACAGCACCTGTCGCACCTCCAGAGTTGGTACCTATGAAGGTGAAAGAGCCTGGTGAGTCACAGTAGTTCTGTATGCCAGTGCCAGAGGAGACCCTTAGACACTTAGTCCAGCTCCAGTCCCCCAATTTTATCTCATTTTTTACAGAAAAAAAGCTAAGATCCAGGGATGTTGAGTGGCCTGCCCAAGGTCACCCCATAGGTCAGTGGTGAAGTTGTGGTGACACCCAAGGACTCCAGATTCCAGACAGAATTCCATTCACCAGCCAACATGGCCTTTATACAGCCAGACTCTCATCTTCATAGAGCATAGGACCCTTTCTGAACCCTGCTCTTTTTCCTTAATGAAGGAGCTCTCCCACCTCCACCCATCATGTTGTGGGCACTGCCCCTGGCATCTGGGGCACTATGAGCTGGCATTCAGCAAGGAGGGGCCCTCCTTGGTCCACACAGCTAGAGAATATATTTGGTGACCTGAGGGTTAATCAGGAGCAGAGTCCAACTTCAGCAGCAGCTGTCTCTCAGACCCCCTCGGGTCACTGAGAGAGCACTCAGGCCTCAGCTGGTGCCCACCAGTGGTCTCTCCTCTATTGCCCTCAGCCTGGACTTCAGTCTGTATGTCCCACTGCTCTTATCCCAGCTAGGGACTTAGGCTGAAACTCAGAGTCCCAGTTGTCCTGGGGCTCCATGGGGTCACGTGCTTTTCCCCTTTGTGCAGAGCCCCAGTACTTTCGCTTTGAGGGCGTGTGGCTGACAGAAACGGGCATGGCGGTGCTGCGTAACCTGACCATGTCGCCTCTGCACAAACGGCGTCAGAGGCGTGGACGGCCTGGCCTCCCAGGCGAGGCGGGGCTGGAGGGGGCCGAGCCTGCAGAGGTCCTGGGCCCTGATGACAAGAAGGATGGTGACCTGGACACGGATGAGCTGCTCAAGGCTGAAGGTCAGCCTGGGGGATCTTGGGGAGTGCCAGAGTTCTGGGAGAATGCCTGTGAGAGTTGAGTGTTGGGTCAGGGCAGCGTTGTCACTCCCAGTCACCCTTGGGCCACTGTGGATCTTGTCCGATGGCTCTGTGACAGGGAACTCAGCTCTCTGTTCTTTTTTTTTGTCTCAGTTGTGTCTTCGTTGCTGCATGTGAACTTTGTCTAGTTGCTGTGAGTGGGGGCTACTCTAGTTGCAGTAGACAGTCTTCTCATTGTAGCTTCTCTTGTTGCGAAGCATGGGCCTTAGGGTGCGCAGGTTTTAGTAGTTGTGGCTCACAGGCTTGGTTGTCCCTTGGTGTGTGGAATCTTCCTAGACCAGGAATCAAACCCATGTCCCCTGCATTGGCAGGCAGATTCTTAACCACTGGACCATCTGGGAAGTCCCCACTTCTCTGTCCTAGCTGACAGGATGACAGGGTTTTAAAAGGGTCCATGCCTCTGACCTGTCTCCATCTCTTCTGTCTCCATACACAGGTAGTGTGGAGCACATGGAATGCGAAATTAAACTGGAGGGTCCTGTCAGCCCTGATGGAGAACCTGGCAAAGAGGAGACCGAGGAAAGCAAAAAACGCAAACGCAAACCGTATCGGCCTGGTGAGGCCCTGGGATGTGGGTGGGGTGGTGAGGGGCAGCTTACCAGGTCCCTAGCAGCTTCTCAGCCTCAGCTCTGCCTCCTTACAGGCATTGGTGGTTTCATGGTGCGACAGCGGAAATCCCACACACGTGTGAAAAAAGGGCCTGCTGCACAGGCGGAGGTGTTGAGTGGGGATGGGCAGCCCGACGAGGGTGAGACGGGTGAGGGCTCCAGTGGGGCCTGGGAGAAGGTGGGGCTCGCAGGACCCGTGGAACACTGCCAGGGAGGCCGGGGGCAAGGGTGCTCTCAAAGGACCAAGAAAGTAGTGGGCCCAGTTGGTGTCAGTGGAGAATAGGCAGAAAGTGTCCCCAGGCCAACCTGGGAGCAGCATGCCTGCAGTCCCCAGAGAGGCTGACCCTCCTGTTCGGTCCTCAGTGTTGCCTGCCGACCTGCCTGCTGAGGGCTCTGTGGACCAGAGCCTGGCCGATGGGGATGAGAAGAAGAAGCAGCAGCGGCGAGGGCGCAAGAAGAACAAACTGGAGGACATGTTCCCTGCTTACCTGCAGGTGGGTCTTAGGCTCTGAGGGCCAAGGGCCAGGCTGCTGGCCCACAGGGCCTGAGGAAGCCTGTTTCTTTCCATCTCCTCCCACAGGAAGCCTTCTTTGGGAAGGAGCTGCTGGACCTGAGCCGGAAGGCCCTGTTTGCAGTTGGCGTGGGCCGGCCAGGCTTTGGATTGGGAACCCCCAAAGCCAAGGGGGATGGAAGCTCAGAGAGGAAGGAGCTCCCGACCTCACAGAAAGGTCAGTTATGTGGGGGTAAGGTGGTCTGAAGGGGTCCAACTTCACTTTGTGCTTGGAAGCCGGTAAGAGATTTTGGTGGGAAATGGGCTGGTCTCCAGGAGTTGAGGGTTGGCCAAGAGCCCTGACCTTGGCACTGGGGTCCTGTTCTGGGCATCTCTGATTGAAGTGGGACTGTTGCTCATAGGAGATGATGGTCCGGATGTTGCAGATGAAGAATCCCGTGGTCCCGAGGGCAAGGCTGATACACCAGGTGAGGGCTGCTGGGAGAACTGGGTGCTATCTTGGTTTTGCTTCTGTCAACCTATTCTGCCCCTGAGCACCATCAAGGTTGGAGGCTGGAAAGTATTTCAGGCCTTCTGCGGTCCTTGCCAGAGTGGCCAGTGTGGTGCTTCCACACCGACCTGAGCTGATGGGCTTTTCTTGGCAATTGCAGGACCTGAGGACGGTGGCATAAAGGCATCCCCTGTGCCCAGTGACCCCGAGAAGCCAGGCACTCCCGGTGAAGGGATGCTTAGCTCTGACTTAGACAGGATTCCCACAGAAGGTGAGGCTGGGACCCACACTCTTCATGTATAGGGGTCCTCTCCTCTGCCTGAGGGACTCATTTATACAGCTCCTCTGGTGGGGAGTCATGGGCACCTTCCGTGGTATCCCCTGAGTCCCCTAGTCTTCCTCAGCAGCATCTTTCTTTGATCGCTCACAGAACTGCCTAAGATGGAATCCAAGGACCTTCAGCAGCTTTTCAAGGACGTTCTGGGTTCTGAACGAGAACAGCATCTGGGTTGTGGAACCCCTGGCCTAGACGGCAGCCGGACACCATTGCAGAGGCCCTTTCTTCAAAGTGAGCCAATGGGGGTGGTTTGAGGACTGGGTGGGCAGGTGCCGCCAAGCTTGCCTCTAGACTGGGCTGCTTGCTCCCTCTCTCTGATCCTTTGTGTCTTGTAGGTGGACTCCCTTTGGGCAATCTCCCCTCCAGTAGCCCAATGGACTCTTACCCGGGCCTCTGCCAGTCCCCATTCCTGGATTCTAGGTTGGTATTTGTGCTTAACCTCTGTGGGCAGTCCCTTCCCTCCAGTGGGGCCACGCCAGGGGAGGGAACCTTGGACTCTCGGGTGCTGCTGTGGCAACCCCTCCCTCTGCTGCCTTGCTAGTGACTGTCTTCTGTTGGGGCAGGGCAGTGGCCTGGGGACTCTGGGCAGTTTGTCTGGGGTGGGGCTTGGCATCCCTGCCCTCTGTGACTCTCTGCCCCTGCGCCCCAGGGAGCGCGGGGGCTTTTTTAGCCCGGAACCCGGTGAGCCAGACAGCCCCTGGACAGGCTCGGGGGGCACCACGCCCTCCACCCCCACGACCCCCACCACGGAGGGTGAGGGCGACGGGCTCTCCTATAATCAGCGGAGTCTTCAGCGCTGGGAGAAGGACGAGGAGTTGGGCCAGCTGTCCACCATCTCACCTGTGCTGTACGCCAATATTAACTTCCCCAGTCTCAAGCAGGATTACCCAGGTACCTGTGGGACAGGGCAAGGGAGATAGCCTGCGACACGACCAGTGCGGGGGTCACCTGCCAGTTCTCTCACACATCATCTTTGTCCTCCAGACTGGTCAAGCCGCTGCAAACAAATCATGAAGCTCTGGAGAAAAGTTCCAGCTGCTGATAAAGCCCCCTACCTGGTGAGACAGAAGGAGCCTGGGGTGGCGTGGGAACTGAGTCAGGGGTGGTGTGTCTTTGGGAAAGTCACCTTCATTCCTTCTATTCCCCACTTTTCATAGCAGCTAGGCCAGTAGGGGTCGGCTTCTGGGTGGGGAGTGTGAGGGACAGGGTGAGGGAGCGGGACTGGGCTTGAGACTGAGTCCCAGCCTCAGGCTGTGTCCTCTGTCCCCTCAGCAAAAGGCCAAAGATAACCGGGCAGCTCACCGCATCAACAAGGTGCAGAAGGTGAGCGGGCTTAGGCTGCGCGGCGGCCTCCAGGTCTGGGTGTGGGGCAGCCTCCCTGAGAGTGGGGTCAGGGGGCCTGCCCACAACAGCCTGACCGTTCTGTATCTGGTCTCCTCCTGTAGCAGGCTGAGAGCCAGATCAACAAGCAGACCAAGGTGGGCGACATGGCCCGCAAGACTGACCGACCGGCCCTACACCTCCGCATTCCCCCCCAGCCAGGGGCCCTGGGCAGTCCACCTCCCGCTGCTGCCCCCACCGTTTTCATTGGCAGCCCCACTCCCCCCGCCGGCTTGTCTACCTCTGCGGACGGGTTCCTGAAGCCGCCGGCGGGCACGGTGCCCGGCCCCGACTCGCCTGGTGAGCTCTTCCTCAAGCTCCCGCCCCAGGTGCCCGCCCAAGTGCCTTCACAGGACCCTTTTGGACTGGCCTCTGCCTATGCTCTGGAGCCCCGCTTCCCCACAGCACCCCCCACCTACCCTCCCTATGCTAGTCAGACTGGGGGCCCTGCACCGCCCCCGACGCTGGGCACCTCGTCTCGTCCTGGGACTGGCCAGCCAGGGGAGTTCCACACTACCCCACCTGGCACCCCCCGACACCAGCCCTCCACTCCTGACCCCTTCCTCAAACCCCGCTGCCCCTCCCTTGACAACCTGGCTGTGCCTGAGAGCCCAGGGGTAGGGGGAGGCAAGGCTGCTGAGCCTCTGCTGTCCCCCCTGCCTTTCGGGGAGTCTCGGAAGGCCCTGGAGGTGAAGAAGGAAGAGCTTGGGGGATCCTCTCCGAGCTATGGGCCCCCAAACCTGGGCTTTGTTGACTCTCCCTCCTCAGGCCCCCACTTGGGTGGCCTGGAGTTAAAGGCACCTGATGTCTTCAAAGCCCCCCTGACCCCCCGGGCATCTCAGGTAGAGCCCCAGAGCCCGGGCTTGGGCCTAAGGCCCCAGGAGCCACCCCCTGCCCAGGCTTTGGCCCCTTCTCCTCCCAGCCACTCGGACATCTTTCGCCCTGGCCCCTACCCTGACCCCTATGCCCAACCCCCGCTGACCCCTCGGCCCCAGCCCCCACCACCTGAGAGCTGCTGTGCTCTGCCTCCCCGCTCACTGCCCTCTGACCCTTTCTCCCGAGTGCCCGCCAGTCCCCAGTCCCAGTCCAGCTCCCAGTCCCCATTGACACCCCGTCCTCTGTCTGCTGAGGCTTTCTGCCCATCCCCTGTTACCCCTCGCTTCCAATCCCCTGACCCTTACTCCCGTCCACCCTCACGCCCTCAGTCCCGGGATCCATTTGCCCCATTGCATAAGCCCCCCCGCCCCCAGCCCTCTGAAGTTGCCTTCAAGGCTGGGCCTCTGGCCCACACTCCGCTGGGGGCTGGGGGTTTCCCAGCAGCCCTGCCCTCAGGGCCAGCAGGTGAGCTCCATGCCAAGGTCCCAAGTGTGCAACCCCCCAATTTTGCCCGGTCCCCTGGGACCAGTGCATTTGTGGGCACCCCTTCTCCCATGCGTTTCACTTTCCCTCAGGCAGTCGGGGAGCCTCCCCTAAAGCCCCCTGTCCCTCAGCCTGGTCTCCCTCCACCCCATGGGATCAACAGCCATTTTGGGCCCGGCCCTACCATGGGCAAGCCTCAAAGCACAAACTACGCAGTAGCCACAGGGAACTTCCACCCATCGGGCAGCCCTCTGGGACCCAGCAGCGGGGCCACAGGAGAGGGCTATGGGCTGTCCCCACTACGCCCCCCGTCAGTCCTACCACCACCTGCACCCGATGGATCCCTCCCCTACCTGTCCCATGGAGCCTCACAGCGGGCAGGCATCACCTCTCCAGTTGAGAAGCGAGAAGACCCAGGGGCTGGCACGGGCAGCTCTTTGGCGGCACCTGAGCTTTCAGGTACCCAGGACCCAGGCATGTCTGGCCTCAGTCAGACAGAACTAGAGAAGCAGCGACAGGTGGGTCAACATCTCCTCTGTTTGTGGGCCAGCCCTTTGGGCTTTGGTGCTTATCCAATGTACTTACCCTCTTGTCTGTACTCTGCACAGCGCCAGCGACTGCGGGAGCTATTGATTCGGCAGCAGATGCAGCGCAACACCCTTCGGCAGGAGAAGGAGACTGCGGCAGCTGCCGGAGCAGTGGGACCCCCAGGCAACTGGGGTGCTGAGCCTAGTAGCCCTGCGTTTGAGCAGCTGGGTCGAGGCCAGACCCCCTTTGCTGGGACCCAGGTAGGTAGAGTGGCAAGGGGTGGTGGATCCAAGATGCTGAAGGTGGCCCCACTTTCATCTACCCTCATCTCTCCTAGGACAAGGGCAGCCTTGTGGGGCTGCCCCCGAGCAAGCTGGGCGGCCCCATCCTGGGGCCAGGGGCTTTCCCCAGTGAAGACCGACTCTCCCGGCCGCCTCCACCAGCCACCCCTTCCTCTATGGATGTTAACAGCCGGTGAGGCTCCTGGGCTTCCCATGGGGAAAAATCAGGGGAATATATTGTATCCAGTTTGCACTGCCACTGATTTTCCTGTCTCTCTCATTCTCAGCATCACTTTCTTTTCTTCCCCATTCCTTCCCCCTCACTGCATTAACTCTTTCCTTCTTTAGGGAAGCACATGTTCTAGCTCTTTTTTCATTCTGATTTTATCTTACTACTGCGTATACTTCCAGGCAATTGGTGGGGGGCTCCCAAGCCTTCTATCAGCGAGCACCGTATCCTGGGTCCCTGCCCTTACAGCAGCAGCAGCAGCAGCAACTGTGGCAGCAGCAGCAACAGGCAACAGCAGCAACTTCCATGCGACTTACCATGTCTGCGCGCTTTCCATCAACTCCTGGGCCTGAACTTGGCCGCCAAACCCTAGGTTCCCCTTTGGCTGGAATTTCCAACCGCCTGCCTGGCCCTGGTGAACCAGTGCCTGGCCCAGCTGGTCCTGCCCAGTTCATTGAGTTGCGGCACAATGTACAAAAAGGACTTGGACCGGGGGGTCCTCCATTTCCCGGTCAGGGCCCTCCACAGAGACCCCGTTTTTACCCTGTGACTGAGGATTCCCACCGACTGGCCCCTGAAGGGCTTCGTGGCCTCGCGGTCTCAGGCCTTCCTCCACAGAAACCTTCAGCCCCACCAGCCCCTGAGCTGAACAACAGCCTCCATCCAACGCCCCACACCAAAGGTCCCAACCTGCCCACTGGCTTGGAGCTAGTCAGCCGGCCCCCCTCCAGCACTGAGCTTGGCCGCCCCCCTCCTCTGGCCCTGGAAGCTGGAAAACTACCTTGTGAGGATCCTGAGCTGGATGATGACTTTGATGCTCACAAGGCCTTGGAGGACGATGAGGAGCTTGCTCACCTGGGCCTGGGTGTGGATGTGGCCAAGGGAGACGATGAGCTGGGCACTCTGGAAAACCTAGAGACCAATGATCCCCACCTCGATGACCTGCTCAATGGGGATGAGTTTGACCTGCTGGCCTATACTGACCCTGAGCTGGACACGGGGGACAAGAAGGACATCTTCAACGAGCATCTGAGGCTGGTGGAGTCAGCCAATGAAAAGGCTGAACGAGAGGCTCTGTTGCGAGGGGTGGAGCCAGGACCCTTGGGCCCTGAGGAGCGCCCTCCCCCGGCTGCTGATGCCTCTGAGCCCCGTCTGGCGTCAGGGCTTCCAGAGGTGAAGCCCAAGGTGGAGGAGGTTGGGCGCCACCCTTCCCCTTGCCAGTTTACCATTACCACCCCCAAGGCAGAGCCAGCACCTGTCACTACTTCCCTAGGCCTGGGGGTAAAGCCAGGTCAGAGCGTGACGGGCAGCCGGGACACTCGAATGGGCACAGGACCTTTTTCCAGCAGTGGGCACACAGGAGGACCACCAGCTCACCTGCTGACGCCCAGCCCACTGAGTGGCCCGGGAGGGCCCTCCCTACTGGAAAAGTTTGAGCTAGAGAGTGGGGCCCTGACTTTGCCTGGTGGACATGCATCTGGGGATGAGCTGGACAAGATGGAGAGCTCACTGGTCGCCAGTGAGTTACCCCTGCTCATTGAGGACCTGTTGGAACATGAGAAGAAAGAGCTGCAAAAGAAGCAGCAGCTTTCAGCCCAACTGCAGCCTGTGCAGCAGCAGCAGCCCCAGCAGCATTCCCTGCTGTCCACCCCAGGCCCTGCCCAGGCTGTGTCTTTGCCCCATGAGGGCTCTTCTCCCAGTTTGGCTGGCCCTCAACAGCAGCTTGCCCTGGGACTTGGAGGCTCCCGACAGCCAGGCTTGGCCCAACCGTTGATGCCCACCCAGCCACCAGCTCATGCCCTCCAGCAGCGCCTGGCCCCATCCATGGCCATGGTATCCAACCAAGGGCATATGCTAAGTGGGCAGCATGGGGGACAGGCAGGCTTGGTGCCCCAGCAGAACCCACAGCCAGTGCTGGGACAGAAGCCCATGGGTACCATGCCACCGTCCATGTGCATGAAACCACAGCAGCTGGCAATGCAGCAGCAGTTGGCTAACAGCTTTTTCCCAGATACAGGTAATCTCAGCTGGCGGGGAGGGACTGACTTAGTAACTCAGGAGTGATCACTGTTAGCACCAACTAACTGAATTCTCTCTGAGGCTGCAGACCCGAGATACTCCCTAGTTAAAGGAGATGGGACACAGAGCGTGGTATAGGCGAAACACTGTAGCTTTTAAAGGAGAATAGTGCCTGGCATCTAGCAGGTGTTCAGATGTTTGAATGAATGGAATGGACACCTGAAGTCTGATTAGCAGAGGCCTTGTAGCTGTAGTGAGACCCAGAACTTAGGACTTGGAGCAAAGTGGTATAGGAAGTAATTGGGCTGGTGAAAGATTTAGTGAGACTAGTGGCAGGAAAGTCAGGTGTATTTGGAGACCATGAGTGGACTGCTTAGGCTGGGGTAGACTTTGTGGAAGGAAGCAAGTGGGTACTGCCATAACTTTGGAGAGGTAAGGTGGGGGCCCAGATTGAAGAAGACCTCAAATTATAATAATATCTATTGAATAATGACTGCTAAACATTGTGCTGAGCACTTTGCATTTATTGTGTAATATAATCAGAACAAAAACCATTATTTTTTTTTTTAACTTTTAATTTTGTATTGGGGTATAGGTGATTAACAATGTGAGAGTGTCAGGTGAACAGCTAACGGACTCAGCCATACCTATACATGCATCCATTCTCCCCCAAAGCCCCCCTCCCATCTAAGCTGTCACATAACATTAAGCAGAGTTCTGTATGCTGTACAGTACGTCCTTGTTGGTTATCCATTTTAAATATAGAAGTGTGTACACGTAATAGGTACTATTATCTTAGATTATAGAAAAGGAAACTGAGGCAGTAAGATTAACTTGCTCAATATCATACAACTAACAGCTGGAATTTGAAGCCTGGCCCTCATATCCTCTTAACTGTTTTACCACCTCAGAATAACCAGGAGAGGGTGTTTGGTTCATCTTCTTAAAAGTAAGGAGTCAGTTAAACTTTCTGAGTAGTGGAGAAATATGCAGTGTATAAGATTTTAGGATGATTTGGTGCCTGCTTGTTTCTTTTTTTCTACCCAGTGTCCTGGACAGGCAGAAGAGTGGTTTGTAGGTGGTGTGTGTTGTGGCCAAAGCAACTCTGGCATTCGGCTTTGGCACTCTGCCCACATTTTGGGTCCTTGGGCTGCACTTATTTGCCCTAAGAATATGACTTTTGAAGAATGCTTTCTAGGTCATAAAGTAAACTTGTATTCTGGTCACATTTGATCTTCTCAATAGCTCCATGAGATAAGCAGAATAAGGAATCATGATCTCTGTCAAATAGAAGAGTAAACTGAGGCTCATAGAGGTGAAGTGACTTTAATACATTGGTTCAGTAAATATTTACTGAGTACCTTTTCCTAATACCATGCGAGTAAAAACAGCCATGTGTCCTGTGAATAATAGAATTGAGTCACCTATGCTACCTGGCTCCTAGTCCAGTGATCTTTACATCATGCCATGCGATTGTTTTGCTTGGCTTGGTGGAAGTCAAGGTATTGGAACGCCAGACATTGACCTCGATGCCAGGCTCACTTGGCTCTTCCATCTCTAGACCTGGACAAATTCGCTGCAGAAGATATCATTGATCCTATTGCAAAGGCCAAGATGGTGGCTTTGAAAGGCATCAAGAAGGTGATGGCTCAGGGCAGCATTGGAGTGGCGCCTGGTATGAACAGGTAAGATGTATGAGGTGGGAGCTTTGGCTTTTTCCTTTTCCAGTCCTTCCCCTATTCTTCATGATCCTCCTTCCTACTTGTCCCAACTCTTTGCCCTTCAACTTTCCCCATCACTAACTCATGCTCTTTACTTTGGCGGACTCCAGGCAGCAAGTGTCCCTGCTAGCCCAGAGGCTCTCAGGGGGGCCTGGCAGTGATCTGCAGAACCACGTGGCAGCTGGGAGTGGCCAGGTAAATGGTCGGGTGGGAGCAGGAACTTGGGTCCTATGCCTTCGGGCCACCCTTCTTAGGGCCTGGTACAGAACAATGACCCTTCAACAGTCTTTCTCGTCCCAGGAACGGGGTGCCGGTGACCCCTCCCAGCCTCGTCCCAATCCACCCACTTTTGCCCAGGGAGTGATCAGTGAGTATGGTGATGGGGAGGAATGTGCAAGGAAGTGGCTTGGGGAAAGAAGGGTTTGGATCCCCTGACACCTGTCTACTTCCTTTCCCAGATGAGGCTGACCAGCGGCAGTATGAAGAGTGGCTGTTCCATACCCAGCAGCTCCTACAAATGCAACTGAAGGTGCTAGAGGAGCAGATAGGGGTGCACCGCAAGTCCCGGAAAGCCCTGTGTGCCAAGCAGCGCACTGCCAAGAAGGCTGGCCGGGAGTTCCCTGAGGCTGATGCTGAGAAGCTGAAGCTGGTTACGGAACAACAGAGCAAGATCCAGAAACAGCTGGACCAGGTAGGGAAGGCAGACTTCAGCCTAGCCACCAGGAACCTGGGAAGAGGGGTGGCACAGGTGGGTAGCCCGCTGGCTGACCTCCCTGACCCTCCCATGTTAGGTCCGGAAGCAGCAGAAGGAGCACACTAACCTCATGGCAGAATATCGGAATAAGCAGCAGCAGCAGCAGCAGCAACAGCAGCAGCAGCAGCAGCACTCAGCCGTACTTGCCCTTAGCCCTTCCCAGAGTCCCCGGCTACTCACCAAGCTTCCTGGTCAGCTGCTCCCAGGCCATGGGCTGCAGCCACCTCAAGGACCCCCGGGGGGGCAAGCTGCAGGTCTTCGCCTGACCCCCGGGGGCATGGCCTTACCTGGACAGCCTGGTGGCCCCTTCCTCAACACCACCCTGGCCCAACAGCAGCAACAGCAACATTCTGGTGGAGCTGGGGCCCTGGGTGGCCCCGCAGGGGGCTTTTTCCCTGGCAACCTTGCTCTTCGAGGCCTGGGACCTGACTCAAGGCTTTTACAGGAAAGGCAGCTGCAGCTTCAACAGCAGCGCATGCAGCTGGCCCAGAAACTGCAACAGCAGCAGCAGCAGCATCTCCTAGGACAGGTGGCAATCCAGCAGCAACAGCAGCAGGGCCCAGGAGTACAGGCAAACCAGGCTCTGGGTCCCAAGCCCCAGGGCCTTCTGCCTCCCAGCAGCCACCAGGGCCTCTTGGTCCAGCAGCTGTCCCCCCAGCCACCCCAGGGGCCCCAGGGCATGCTGGGCCCTGCCCAGGTGGCAGTGTTGCAGCAGCAGCAACCACACCCTGGAGCTTTGGGCCCACAGGGCCCTCACAGACAGGTGCTCCTGACCCAGCCACGGGTGCTAAGTTCCCCCCAGATGGCACAGCAGGGTCAGGGCCTTATGGGACACCGGCTGGTCACATCCCAGCAGCAGCAGCAGCAGCAACAGCACCAACAGCAAGGATCCATGGCTGGGCTTTCCCATCTTCAGCAGGGTCTGATGCCACACAGTGGGCAGCCCAAACTGGGCACCCAGCCCATGGCCGCCTTGCAGCAGCAACAGTTGCAGCAGCAGCAGCTACAACAGCAGCAGCAGCAACAACTTCAACAACAGCAACAGCTTCAACAACAACAACAGCAGCTTCAACAACAGCAGCAACAGCTTCAACAACAACAGCTTCAGCAACAGCAGCAGCAACAGCAGCTACAACAGCAGCAGCAGCAGCAACAACAGCAGCAACAACAGCAGCAGCAACAGCAGCTACAACAGCAGCAGCAGCAGCAGCTTCAACAACAGCAGCAGCAGCAGCAACAGCAGCTTCAACAGCAGCAGCAGCAACAGCAGCTTCAACAGCAGCAGCAGCAGCAACAGCAGCTTCAGCAGCAGCAGCAGATGGGCCTCTTGAGCCAGAGTCGAACTTTACTGTCTCCTCAACAGCAACAGCAGCAGCAGCAGCAACAGGTGACACTAGGCCCTGGCATGCCAGCCAAGCCTCTGCAACACTTTTCTAGCCCCGGAGCCCTGGGCCCATCCCTCATCTTAACAGGCAAGGAACAAAGCATCGTAGAGACGGCTCTTCCTTCGGAGGCCAGTGAGGGGCCCTCCACACATCAGGGAGGGCCCTTACCAATGGGGACTGGACCAGAGTCCGTGGCCACTGAACCAGGAGAGATGAAGCCCTCACTGTCTGGGGACTCACAGCTCCTGCTTGTCCAGCCCCAGGCCCAGCCTCAGCCCAACTCTCTGCAGCTGCAGCCACCTCTGAGGCTCCCAGGACAACAGCAGCCGCCAGTTAACTTGCTCCACACAGCAGGCGCGGGAAGCCATGGGCAACCAGGCAGTGGATCATCTGAGGCCTCGTCTGTGCCCCACCTACTGGCCCAATCCTCTGTTTCCTTAGGGGAACAGCCTGGATCCGTGACCCAGAACCTTCTGAGCTCCCAACAGCCCCTTGGACTAGAGCGACCCATGCAAAATAATGTAGGGTCACAGCCTGCCAAGCCAGGATCTGTCCTGCAGTCTGGGCAGAGCCTGCCAGGGGCTGGGGTCATGCCTACAGTGGGTCAGCTTCGGGCACAACTCCAAGGAGTCCTGGCCAAAAACCCACAGCTGCGGCACTTGAGTCCTCAGCAGCAGCAGCAGCTCCAGGCGCTTCTCATGCAGCGGCAGCTACAGCAGAGTCAGGCAGCACGCCAGGCGCCACCCTACCAGGAGCCTGGGGCCCAGCCCTCTCCCCTCCAAGGCCTTCTGGGCCGCCAGCCCCAACTTGGGGGCTTCCCTGGATCCCAGACAGGCCCTCTTCAGGAGCTAGGGGCCGGGCTTCGACCTCAGGGCCCACCCCGACTCCCTGCCCCACAAGGAGCCTTATCCACAGGACCAGTTCTTGGCCCTGTCCATCCCACACCTTCACCATCCAGCCCCCAAGAGCCAAAGAGACCTTCCTCCCAATTACCATCCCCTAGCTCCCAGCTCCCCTCAGAGGCCCAGCTCCCTACCACCCAGCCAGGAACCCCCAAGCCCCAGGGGCCACCCTTGGAACTTCCTCCTGGGAGGGTCTCACCTGCTGCTGCCCAGCTTGCGGATACTTTCTTTGGCAAGGGACTGGGACCTTGGGACCCCCCAGACCACCTAGCGGAAGCCCAGAAGCTGGAACAAAGCAGCCTGGTTCCTGGGCATCTGGACCAGGTGAATGGGCAGGTGGTACCTGAGCCACCACATCTCAGCATCAAGCAGGAGCCTCGGGAAGAGCCGTGTGCCCTAGGAGCCCAGGCGGTGAAGAGGGAGGCCAACGGGGAGCCTGTAGGGGCACCAGGTACCAGCAACCATCTCCTGCTGGCAGGGCCCCGCTCAGAGGCTGGGCATCTGCTCTTGCAGAAGCTTCTACGAGCAAAGAATGTGCAACTCAGCACTGGGCGGGGGCCCGAGGGGCTGCGAGCTGAGATCAACGGGCACATTGACAGCAAGCTTGCTGGGCTGGAGCAGAAACTGCAGGGTACCCCCAGCACCAAGGAGGTGAGTACTCCAACTAGAGTGGAGCAGACAGTGTGGGGCCTGAAGTCTGGGGGCAGAGCGAGCAGGTCTGGTGAAACCAGAGGTGAGGGCTTCGAGGGACACGGTGACCTTCACTGTGGGTTTGTCTGGCTTAGGATACAGCAGCAAGGAAGCCTTTGACACCGAAGCCCAAGCGGGTACAGAAGGCAAGCGACAGGTTGGTGAGCTCCCGAAAGAAGCTGCGGAAGGAGGACGGGGTCAGGGCCAGCGAGGCCTTGCTGAAACAGCTGAAACAGGTGACCCCCAGGAGCCAGTCCCCTGGTCCCAGCCCAGGATAGGGGGCAGCCTGGCCCCCAGGTGTGCAGTAGCAGAAAGGTACATGCTGCGGGATTCCAACCTTCTTGTCTTGCCCCTTCTAGGAGCTGTCCCTGCTGCCCCTCACGGAGCCTACCATCACCGCCAATTTTAGCCTCTTTGCTCCCTTTGGCAGCGGCTGCCCGATCAGTGGGCAGTGCCAGCTGAGGGGGGCCTTCGGAAGTGGGGTGCTGCCCACGGGTCCTGACTACTATTCCCAGCTGCTTACCAAGGTTAGAAAAATGGCAGTACCTTTTGGGGATGATGAGGTTCTTGGGGAGGTGGAGTTGGGGTGGCAGACTTGAGCAAAGGGCTGATAGAGTGTGGGGCCAGGAGATTATGTCAGTCTCCCCATGCCGTCTTGCACACAACACCCCACCCCGCCCCCAGAATAACCTGAGTAACCCGCCGACACCACCCTCGTCGCTGCCCCCCACCCCACCCCCATCGGTGCAGCAGAAGATGGTTAATGGCGTCACTCCATCTGAAGAGCTGGGGGAGCACCCCAAGGATGCCGCCTCTGCCCGGGATACTGAAGGGGTGCTGAGGGGTAAGTCAGGAGCAGAGTGGGCTACCTCTCAGCCCCGTCTTGGTGGCTAGGGTCCTGTGGTAGGGTTTGAGGTAGGAGTGGGTTACGTGTTGCTCTGTGTGCATTCGCAACAGATGGTACTTGAAATAGGAAGGGCCTCTTCGGGACTGATTTGTTGGAGCCAGGAGGGGCTTCTGGAGTCCAGAGCAAAGGCAGCAGGACAGGGAGAGTATTAATGAAGCTTTTGTTTTTGAGGAATAACCAAGTTTCCTTACCCACAGGGTATGAACTCCAGTCAGATCTGGATTTGAACTCTGGCTCCTGCATTCATTTAGCTGTGCTACTGCAGCCAAGTAACTTGATTGACTTGTGTGAGCCTCAATTTTCTCACTCTAAAATAAAAATAATACTTAATGGAGTTGTTGAAAGACTATAACCAATGAGTATACACTGCAGAGTACACTCTTTAGAAAGGCTCAATAACTTTATAGCTCGTGTACCCCAGACTGGTAGATGGGTGGATGAGTAGATAGTGGTCCTAGAACCGAGCTAGATCTTGTACCAGTTAGGCCTGAAACATGTGGGAGAAAGCACCAGCAGCTCTGGCCTGGCCTGAGCCTGACATTTCTTCTCCTACCTACCCTGCAGATGCTTCAGAAGTGAAAAGTCTAGACCTGCTGGCCGCCTTGCCTACGCCCCCTCACAATCAGACTGAGGATGTCAGGTGTGGAAGGGGCAGAGATGGGGATGAGGAATTGGGGTGGGGGATCAGTTCCTCATTTTTCCTTGTTTTTTCTTGTGACCAATGGCAGATTTCACATAGGGCTGTAACATCCACAAATCTCTAGATTTGGGAGGGGGGCACCTGCTGGGCTGTAGCAGTGAGTGTCTGCTTTTGGCCCACAGGATGGAGAGTGATGAGGACAGTGATTCTCCTGACAGCATCGTGCCAGCTTCATCCCCTGAGAGCATCCTAGGGGAGGAGGCCCCCCGTTTCCCTCAGCTGGGCTCAGGCCGGTGGGAGCAGGATGACCGGGCTCTCTCCCCTGTCATCCCCATCATTCCTCGGGCCAGCATTCCAGGTAGAGGTGACTCTGGGCCTGGACCCGGCCTGGCCTGGTCAGGCTGCATTGTCAGAGGTCAGGGAGTGAGGCAGCTGGAGTTTACACAGGTCCTTCTTTGTCGTTCAGTCTTCCCAGAGAGCAAACCTTATGGGGTCCTGGATATGGAGGCCCCCAGGAAGCTGCCTGCCCCAACTTGGGAAAAGGGCAAAGGAAGCGAGGTGTCAGTCATGCTGACGGTTTCTGCTGCCGCCGCCAAGGTATGTCCTGGGGATGCCTCAAGGGCCAGGAGGAGATGCCGGTCAGAGGGCAGTCCCAGGAGCTTCTCTGAATAAATCATTTAAACCTATGTATTAAGGACCTCCTGTGAATGAAAGCCTGAACCGGAGTGTGGGATTGGAGAAAATGTAGCACAAGGGGCTGCCCTGCACTCAAGGAGCTCACAGTTCAGGGGTAAAGACACAAGTCAACAAATAGAGTGTGTATAATGTGACAAGTGCTACCAAACATGTCCCCAGTCACATTGCATGGAATTCTGGTTTTTTTTTTTTAATGTTATCAGGATCTTGTGATCAGAGGAAATTGGAAATCTCAGTTAAAATAGCAAAACAGGTTTTTTATTACAAGACTCTGCAGTTCCTTTACTTTGCTGATGTACACTGGGACTTTCCAAGGGGTGGATGCAGTGTGTCATTTCCTAAGCCCAGTTGCCGCAGGTCTCTTTCTGTGCGCTCCCGTTAATGCCCACAGTGATTTGAGAAAGGCTGCCTTTAAAGGAGGTACATGAGAAGAAGTCAGATGGCACAGGAGTAGGCCTGACGGGCCACATAGGGAGCTGCGTTCTGGGCGTCGTGGTCCCCACCAAGCTGGTGATAGTTCTCACTCTGCCACTCTGCCGACATGGCTGTCATATCCCCTTTCCTGCCCTGGCAGAACCTGAATGGCATGATGGTGGCAGTGGCAGAGCTGCTGAGCATGAAGATCCCCAATTCCTATGAGGTGCTGTTCCCAGAGAACCCTACCCGGCCTGGCATCGAGCCTAAGAAGGGGGAGGCTGAGGGCCCTGGTGAGTATGGCGGAAAAACTCCTTGGGGCCCACGGGGAGTGATTGTGGTGGGAGTCTCTGACCCCCTTCCTTCCTGCAGGTGGGAAAGAAAAGAGTCTGGGAGGCAAGAGCCCAGAGGCTGGCCCTGATTGGCTGAAGCAGTTTGATGCTGTGTTGCCTGGCTATACACTCAAGAGTCAGTTAGACATCTTGAGTCTCCTCAAACAGGTGGGTCTGTTAGAGGAAGACAGGGTGGGTATCTGGCTAGGACAGAGAAGGCAGAGGGCTTTGGGGTGAGTGGAATCTGGGTGGGAGGAGAGAGGTGACTAGTTAATTGAGGAGCCAGCACTAACGGTACAGGGCTCTCCTATCTTCCCATAGGAGAGCCCTGCCCCAGAGCCCCCCACCCAGCACAGCTACACCTACAACGTCTCCAACCTGGATGTGCGACAGCTCTCGGCCCCACCTCCTGAAGAACCCTCCCCACCCCCTTCCCCTCTGGCACCCTCTCCTGCCAGCCCCCCTGCTGAACCCTTGGTTGAACTTCCAGCTGAACCCTCAGCTGAGCCACCGATCCCCTCGCCTCTGCCACTGGCCTCGTCCCCTGAATCTACCCGGCCCAAGCCCCGAGCCCGGCCTCCTGAGGAAGGTGAAGATTCCCGGCCCCCTCGCCTCAAGAAGTGGAAGGGGGTGCGCTGGAAGCGGCTCCGGCTGCTGCTGACTATCCAGAAGGGTGGTGTGCGGCAGGAGGATGAGCGGGAAGTGGCTGAGTTCATGGAACAGCTCGGCACAGCCTTGCGACCTGACAAGGTGCCTCGAGACATGCGGCGCTGCTGCTTCTGTCATGAGGAGGGAGATGGGGCCACGGATGGGCCTGCCCGCCTGCTGAACCTGGACTTGGACTTGTGGGTGCACCTCAACTGTGCCCTGTGGTCCACAGAGGTATATGAGACCCAGGGCGGGGCGCTGATGAACGTGGAGGTTGCCCTGCACCGAGGCCTGCTCACCAAGTGCTCCCTGTGCCAGCGCACCGGTGCCACCAGCAGCTGTAATCGAATGCGTTGCCCCAACGTCTACCATTTTGCCTGCGCCATCCGCGCCAAGTGCATGTTCTTCAAGGACAAGACCATGCTGTGTCCGATGCATAAGATCAAGGGGCCCTGTGAGCAGGAGCTGAGCTCTTTTGCTGTCTTCCGGAGGGTCTACATCGAGCGGGATGAGGTGAAGCAGATTGCCAGCATCATCCAGCGGGGAGAGCGGCTGCACATGTTCCGGGTGGGGGGCCTTGTGTTCCACGCCATCGGACAGCTGCTGCCGCACCAGATGGCTGACTTCCACAGTGCCACTGCCCTCTATCCAGTGGGCTATGAGGCCACGCGCATCTACTGGAGCCTCCGCACTAACAACCGGCGCTGCTGCTACCGCTGCTCCATCGGAGAGAACAACGGGCGGCCGGAGTTCGTGATCAAAGTCATGGAGCAGGGCCTGGAGGACATGGTCTTCACGGACGCCTCTCCCCAGGGTGAGCATGGGCCCCTCGCAGCCTGGCATAGCACTGGGTGAGCTTCTCCCAGAGTCAGCTTTCTGATGTTGAGATGAGACCTTCAGGCTCCTTATTGAATGATCTTGTTCCCCCACTTCTGTCAGGTAGAGGTCTCTTGAAGTTCTCCAGAGAAAGTGTTTTGGCCTTTCTCAGCCACCTTGAATTCTCTATGTAATTGAAGATACTTTGCTTCTCTGACTACACATATTCCAGCTCCTTTTCTTAATCTCAGTGGATCTAAAGGATATGGGTCTGAGACCTTGTTGCCCAGTTTACCCAGTCTCATCCTAGGCTTGAGTTCCTTGCGGTTGCTTTCCCCTGGATAAAATCTTTTGATCTTGGTTTCGATATTAATGGTAAAGGTAACAGAATTAACATTGTAGTGAGCGTGTATTATGTGCCACAAACTGAGCTGAGTGGTTTATGTAGGTTATTTTGTTCATGCAACCCTTCAAGGTGAGTACTATTATTATGCCAAGTTTATACATAAACTGAGTAGTGGAGAGATTTAAGTAGTGGGTTAGCCAAAAAAATTCGTTCAGGTTTTAGAAAAAACCCAAACAAACTTTTTGACCAACCCAATATTTGCCTTAAGGGCCCCATAGCCAGTATTAGAACCTGAACCCAAGTCTTCTCACCCCAGAACATGCCTGGCGCTTGAGTTGCTCTGGCTCTCGTGTAAGGTCCATGGACTGTGTTGGGTGTCCTGGGCCCTGGGCTCATGTTTCTGTGTCACAGGGCTCTATGATGCCCCTCCAGGGTGGGAAACCTGGCTTGTTGAGGGAGACTGAGACTGGGAGGCCAAGAGGTTCCTGAAGAACCACACACCTTCTTGATAGCAAGATGGGAAGGCTACAGAAAACCACCCTAGCATCGGATGGAGGTTGGGGCTGAGATCAGTAAGCAGAAGTTGCCTCTGAGGGCTGCCGTCTTTCCTTGTCTCTTAGCCGTTTGGAATCGCATCATCGAGCCTGTGGCAGCCATGAGGAAAGAGGCCGACATGCTGCGGCTCTTCCCTGAGTACCTGAAAGGCGAGGAGCTCTTCGGGCTGACGGTGCACGCTGTGCTGCGCATAGCTGAATCAGTAAGGAAGGGCCGGGGGCCGGGGGCCCAGGGCCAGGAGGGCCCTGGGAATGTTGGTCTTGCCCCAGAAGTGCTCAGGCTGAAGTGAGTGTGACCTGTGCCCACAGCTGCCTGGAGTGGAAAGCTGTCAAAATTATTTATTCCGCTATGGACGCCACCCCCTGATGGAGCTACCGCTCATGATCAACCCCACTGGCTGTGCTCGGTCAGAGCCTAAAATCCTCACACACTACAAACGGTGAGCTTGTGGGGCTGAACCAAAGGTTGTGGGTATGCGGTTGGTAGGGCCCTCTGGCTAATTACGAGTGTTTGGGGTTACAGATCAGAGTTCCCTTGGAGAGACTGGGGGTTCACTCTAGCCTCCTGACTAGAGAGTATACAGGTATCACTAGGGTATCCTTTTCCTCCCCCAGCCTCTAAGGTGCTTGGGGTTGACCTGCAGTCTAGGGACACTTCTCTTGGGTGTTCTGGGAATGGCCCTTGGGGAGGTTCTGGGTAGACAGTGGTGAGGTCTTATGTATAAAGGACCAAGATGCCACCATCTTGTCCTGTGTTGCTTCCAGGGGGCCTGTGATTCTCCCTAACCTTAGACAGATACCCCATGAGTGCTAGATTCACCTTCCCGTCCCCAGGCTGAGTTGGTGTCAAAAATAAATAATTAGGAATATAATAGAAAAACTAATAAAACCTTACATTTGTATAGCACTTTATACTTTTTTTTTCAAAGCGTTTTCACATCCATTATCTCATTTGATCCTCACAACAACCTTATGAGGTAGGTAGGGCAGGTGGTATTATCCCCATTTACAGCTGAGAAAACTGAGACCCAGAAAGGTTAAGTGACTAGACAAAGGTCACAGCTGGGACCAGAGCCTTACCTCTTGACTTGTGGTTCACTGTTCTTGCTGTGTACCACAGTAGCCTGACCTTGGTCCCTGGGTAGAGGGAGGCAGAATCCACGAGAGGAGGGCTTTCTTGAAGGTCTTCGGTTGCTCTTTGGGCTGTCGTAGAGCGTCAAACTCTACCCTCGCCAGCCCTGGTCCTTGATGCTCTACACCAGTGGTTTTCAAACTGTGTTTCAGAAAGCCCTGGAACACATAAACTGAGTGGGCAGAACTTGGCCCTCTTCATGGATAACTCCCCCCTTCCCCATACTGGATTCAACCAGAAGAGTTGCGTTTCCATCTAGTTTATGTATTGGTATTCCTGTAATGTTTTGTTAAAGTAAAAAACAAGATTTCTGCTATGTGAAAAAGAGTCAGTTTGAAAACCACTGCTCTGGGATGGGCAAGAACTTGGCTGATGCCCTAGGGTGGTGAGAAGGCATCCTGCTAGGCAGCAGCCATTCCCCTGCACTGAGCCATCTGCACAGAGCCCACTGTTATGGCGGAGAAAGGGAACAGTCTAAAGAAAGGAAAAGATACCACCATTTGGCTGTGAATTCAGGGCCAGTTTTAATTCAAATCCAGCCCAATGTGGTAGACATGGCCCCCGTTTGCAGAACTTTCAGCATGAGCAAGAGATAGGACTCAGAGATTTCAGCAAATCTGTGAGCTTAAATTCCAGTCCTGGGCTGCTTGGGGAAGACCTCCCAGAGGTCGTGAGCATGGCCTTGAGTCTGGTTTGGCAGGAGGGTGGTAGAAGGCGGGGAGATGGGAGAGCAGGCTCAGTGTAGGGGAATCAGTGCCCCTTCCCTCCCTTCACACCCCACCCCACCATCCTGGGCTCTCTCCGCCACACAGGGTGTTGGAAGGGTCCCCATAGCTAGTTGCTGCCTCGCCACAGCCAAGACTAAGATGCCTCTACTCCACTCGCAAGGCAGCACGTGCCCTCACTGGAGTGTTACACATCCCAGGGAGGAAGCGGGTGGTGTGTGCCTGGTCTGGGGTAGAGCTGTCTTGTCATGGACTGTGGACTGTATCACCTCCCAGGCCCCACACTCTGAACAGCACCAGCATGTCCAAGGCATATCAGAGCACCTTCACAGGCGAGACCAACACCCCGTACAGCAAGCAGTTTGTGCACTCCAAGTCATCTCAGTACCGGCGGCTCCGCACTGAGTGGAAGAACAATGTCTATCTGGCTCGCTCCCGTATCCAGGGCCTGGGTCTCTATGCAGCCAAGGACCTAGAAAAGCACACAATGGTCATTGAGTACATTGGCACCATCATTCGCAATGAGGTGGCCAACCGGCGGGAGAAAATCTATGAGGAGCAGGTATGGGCTGGCAGAGGGGCCATCATGGTACACTTAGCCAAGGGGCAGGGGCAGGATTGGGGCCAGAGGAGCAGGTGGAAAGCTGCTGTGGGAAGAGGAGGGGAGAGGCAGGAGAAAGGAAGAGTAAGAAATGAAGATGAGCTCACTGCCCAAGCCCACCACCTGACCCCACCACCACCACTGCTGCCCTTCTCTGATATTCTTGCCCCTTCTGCAACCTCTGCCTTTCTAGAATCGAGGCATCTACATGTTTCGAATAAACAACGAACATGTCATTGATGCTACGTTGACCGGAGGCCCTGCCAGGTGAGAGGGATGAGCACGAAGGGATTTAGGAGTTCCCTAAGGAACCAGCATCATCCAACCCAGTAGCGTGATATTTCTGCCTTTGTTCCACTGCCTAGGTACATTAACCATTCTTGTGCCCCTAACTGTGTGGCGGAAGTTGTGACATTTGACAAGGAGGACAAAATCATCATCATCTCCAGCCGGCGAATCCCCAAAGGAGAGGAGGTAAGAGGAAGCATCTCTCAGTGAGTGACAGAGCAGCTCTCTCTTCTTCAATCCCAAAGCCAGCGCCCTCCCCCACTTCCTCTGGTGAACTGGCCTTGATTGTGCCCTCTTCTCTTTCCAGCTGACATATGACTATCAGTTTGATTTTGAGGACGATCAGCACAAGATCCCCTGCCACTGTGGAGCCTGGAATTGTCGGAAGTGGATGAACTAAGAAGCTTTGAGGCTACCAGGCAGGGGAGCCCCCCCACCCGCAACCTCTTCCCTGAAAGGGATGAGGGGGAGGAGAGGTAGCAGCCAGAGCCAGGACCCAGGGCTGGGGCTGCCGGCTGACCGGAGCCCCTGGAGCAGGAGGCTGGGGCAGAGGGCCCTAGGCCAAGCCCACCCTGGGCACCAGGGACGACCCTCTTCCCCGCCACCGGCCCCCAGGCTGGCATCTCTGCCCCCAGCTCCAGGAGGGGCCAGACAGAAGCAGCCATTGGGCATCTCAGGTTTGAGGGGGATACGGGCCGGGAACTACCCAGAGCATCTGGGAGGCAGCAGGGAGTGGGGAGGAGGATGTGTGGCCGGGCCTCACAGCCCTGCTGCTCCCACCGACCTCTCTGGCCCAACTCAAGGCTGCAAAGAGACTTGACTAAGCTTGACAATCCCAAAGGCCGGGTCCCACACCTGGCCCTGCCTGCCGGGTCCTGCCCCCACCCTCACCCCCATCCCCTTCCCTCTCGATCTGTCTCTGTCTCCCTCTTCTCCTCTGTGTTTCTGTCTCTCTATGGGTTGTGTTTCCTTGTTTTCCACTCTGACAAATGCAACATGAATGGGAAAGAGGCGCCCAGCTGCCCAGGAGGGCAAGCCAGGCAAGCCGGGCAAGGAGACCCCGCACCCACACCTACCTCATTTAAGTGTTGGATTTTTTGCTGTTTTGAAATGTGAGACCCTCTCCAAGCCCCCTACTGCCCCAAACCTCTCCCCCACCTCACTGCCCTCTTCTGAGTGGGTGGAAGGGGGGTAGGAGGAAGAAGAAAAAACAACAACAAAAAATCCATCTCTGTTTTTAATTACGGGCATGGGATGGTGGTTGAGGCTAATGATGATGAAGATTGGGGATAACTGGCCCCTAGTTGCTCTAGGACTTCCTTCTCCATCTGGACATGGGGGCAGGAGTGGGGTGCTCAACTTAGGACCAGAGTATCTCCCTCCTGTTTTCCCAACCCCATCATGAGCCCATTTGCCCTCCAGCCCCTGGATGGGGTGGGTGGGTGGTAGGGTGAGGGCTATCCCTGAGTGGCATGCCCATACCCAGTGAGGCAGGGTGTGGCCCGGAGCTCCCACTTTCCCTCAGTCACCAAACTGCTGCTGGTCTGGTGAGAAGGGGTGGTGATGTGGGGGTGGGGGAGCTTAGTGTCAGCGCGGGGAGGGTGGGGGGTATTTATCTATTTATACATGGGATTGTACATAGTCTTGTGGGGCATGGGGGAGCCGGCTGGAGGTGAGAACCCTCCCCTCTCCCCCCACCCCCGGGGAGAGCAAATGTAAAACTACTAATTTTTGTGCTTTATATATTCTATATAAATATATCTATTTTCTTTTTACAAAACCAGTTTATAAATGGTAGGGGGGTGTGGGGCGGATACATGGAGCTCCCCTTGTGGGGGAGCCCCCTCCATTACCCAACCTACCGCCCTTTTCCTCACCCCCTCCTCCCCACCCCCTGGCTGTGACTGCTGTAAGGTGGGGGTATAGAGGCTGGGCAATTCCCACCCCCTTTTGTATAGTTGGACTATGTTATAACGCACAAAAGTGAGCTGGCCCCAGGGGGAGCCAGAGGGTAATGGGTTCCCCTGCCTCCCTTTCCTTCCCCTTTCTGCCCAAGCTTGTGCTGCAGTTGAACCTCTTCCTGGGGGTAGGGGTAGGTCAGGGGGTGGGTGAGGCCCCAGACCCCTCTCTGGTAGGGAGCCATGGGGATGAAGATGAAGCTTATATGCAGTTCTCTCCTAGGGGCTGTGGGCAAAGGGCATTTTGTAATTAATATTTTCAAGAATCAAATGTCTGGAGTGTGGGGGTGGGCTTGGTGGTGGTGTATGGGTGGGCCTGCTGGAGGGGGAGCACGGTCGCTGTTGTGATTTTAGGTTTGTTTTTGTTTGTTTTTGAATTTGGGGGGTTGCGGATTGATGGGGGTAGGGAAATTTTTTTTTTAAGCTGCTTCCTCAACTGTTTCAAGCTGCAAATGTTTAAGAGAATAACATCCCCCACCCCCACAGAAACCACTGTAATGAAATCACAGTGGGGAGACTGGGCTTCTGCCCCCAAAGCCATTGGATGTTCCTTTTCCGAGAGCAAAAGGTCTAGGTTACAGGGAAGGGGAGATTGGCTCCTGCGAGTCAGGCTCTGATTGGGGCTTGGGCCCTGGGATTGGGAAAAGGGGATGGGGCAGACTTTGTAAGCATATGCTAGGTATCTGATAGTCCTGTAGAATTTAGTGAAGAAACCTTATACAGTTTTTAATTTTTATATAAACTAACTCAGACCCAAGCTACAAGGTTGGAATTTTGGTTGTTGGTTTTTTTTTTTTTTTTAAGTACCCCGCCTGTATAATTGCATCAGAATTCCCTCCCTCCCCCTCGCCCCCCCATGTTTGTACTTTGGGTTGGTTTACACTTGCACATACTCAATTTTCAGTTTTTTCCCATTTATGGTCTTCTCCCCTCACCTCCAGGACCCTCCCCCTTTTTAAAAAATAAATCTCTGACAAGTGTGAATCCCGTGAAGACTTTATTTTGTGTTGTGTGTATCCTGTACAGCAAGGTTGGTCCTTCGTAACAACGGATGAAATGATTCCCTTTTTTAAAGCGCCCTCTCTCCCTCCACCCCCAGCGCCCCTGTCCTTGGCATGTTTTGTATCAGCGATCATTCTGAACTGTACATAATTTATGTTGCAAGAGGCAAAGGGCAAGTTTTGGATTTTGCTTCTTCCAAGTTTGTTTTTAAACGACAAATAAAAAAAAGAACATTTTAAATACAAGCGACTCCGTCCCGTCACCCTCGCCGTCGGTGGGATCAGTGAGGTCTGAGAGGACCCGGGGAGGGCGGTTTCTGAGGCCAGGACACACCGGAAGGGTGAGCTCCCCGCTTTCCACCCTTGGCTTGCGTAGGTTCTGACGTAGGCGGAAGTGCGTTGCGGTACCGGATGTGAGGCGGGGCCTTCTCCGCCCCCTTGCCCCGGGCCAGTTTCCTAAAGCGAAAGAACCCAGCCGGCGTCTCTCGCGATGGAGGCGGTGAGGAGCGCGGGAAGGTGGCGGGGGGCAGGGGTGCGCTGTGGAGCCCGAGACCCCAGTCAGGGGACTGGGGAACCGGGACCGGCGCTGGTGCTCAGTCAACGAGAAGCAGGGTGTCTGTCCTATACCGTGACCCTGCCCCTCCGCTCTTTCGCTGAGCGCATCTCAACGACTGGGCCGCGCCGGTGCCTGCCTTCGGTCCACGGTACTTTAAGCCCGAGCGGGCAATGACTCCTGGCACTCCCTGATCACTCCCTGGCGATCTCGGACCTCCTCCTCATTTAGCACCTCAAGCCCTTCAGAGGTTTGCCTGAGAGAGAAGGGTCGTGAGCCAGCTTCCCTAGGTGAAGCAGGGGGTTCCGAGGGACCCCCGCTTGCAGGTAGCACCAGGTCCCCAGTTGTCCGAGTGTGAGCCATAGAATCTTTGACAGGAGGGACGTCTGAAAGACTTTTATACTGCTTTGAGGTGTTCAGCGAGATAACTTAGCCTTAACAAGACTGAAAAGTGGGGTTTCCCTTAAGGAGGGAATCTTACAGTGTTAGAGGCCACTGTGTCCCTGATCTAGTTTAGGTCGTGCCCTGCTCTGCGATTCTAAGCAGGTGTGTTGGCCTAGCTCTTTCTTGGGTAGCAGGCGTTGACAGATTGTGGCAGGTCCCTGTCATCCTCCCAGAGTTGCTGCAGGTCCCCTACTCTCTGTTTGTACCTCTCCTCACTCTCAGGAGCCTTGATCTGGCACTCTGGAACCCTTCCCATTCTCTTCCTTCCTTCCATGTATTCTTTGTCAAACAGAGTAGCTCTTCCTCTCCTGGTTTTTATCATCTCCTACTGTAGTTGTATGACGACTGCCGGTTCACCTTTCTCTCCATCAGTTACATGCCCAGAGTGATTCCCTTATTGTACTCTTTCTCTGCCTGCAGAGAGGTCATGTCCCTCAGGTTATAAAGAAGAATCTAAACCAAAGTAAAATGATTTGCAACTGGTCACCCAGGCAAGGGAGTAAGTTCTTATAGATTAAGAGAATTTTGAGCAAAAATAAAAGGTCTTATTCCATTAAATTCAAAATGACATTATTTTTTACTTATAAATTATTATGGCTTACAAAGCACTTTTATATGGATCTTCTTGGATCCATTAATTTAGCCATCATATTTTATGTACTGGATTAGAAGTTTCTTGGAATAGAAATTGTTCTAAAAAGGAAAAAAAAAAGGGAGTACACTGGCAGTCCAGTGGTTAGGACTCGGCCTTTTCATTGCTAGAGCCTGGGTTCAATTGCTAGTGGGGGGATTAAGATACCACAGGCCACGTGGTGCAGCTGATAAATAAACGAAGAAAAAAGAAAAACCCCCGCTTTGAAAATGCTTAGCCTAACTGCAGTGGAGGCAAGGGCAAGTCAGTGACAGCTGTTATTTAAGGTAGACTGTAGTGAATGCTATCATTAAGATGCAAAAACAGGACTGTGGCAGCATAGGGGAAGGAGAAATTACTGACAGCCTGTGAGAGGGCATTGCAGGTTGAGAGAACAGTGTGAGCAAGGGCATAGAAACGGGCGCGTAGCGATTAATTGGGGGTCAGCCAGTGGCTGATGTTGCTGGAGCTTTGAATTTTGGTCATAGTTGGAGAAAAGACTGGGAAAGTAGGTTGAGGTCAGGTTGAAGATATTGCATACCACATCAAGTTTGAACTTTGTTTTGTAATAAGGGGACCCATGGAAGATTTGGGGCTTCCCAGGTGGTGCTAGTGGTAAAGAACTTGCCTGCCTATGCAGGAGACACAAGAGACACAGGTTCAATCCTTGGTCAGAAAGATCCCCTGGAATAGTTAATGACAACCACACCAGTATTCTTGCCTGGAAAATTCCATGGACAGAGGAGCCTACAGTCCATGGGATTGCAAAGAGCCAGACATGACAGTGCGCACGCACGCGCACACACACACACACAAGATTTATGAGCAAGGTAGTAAGTGTACTTTAAGAATATTCCTAATGACTTTCTGTAAATGGAGAAGCCACTTCAGAAAGTAGTGAGTTCTTGGTTCCTGGAGTTGAAAGTCCCTTCCAAACCTGAGATGCCTGGGGAGAGAACTTAGTAACAGCATGAAAGACGAATTGAAGAGGAAATAGATTTCCTCTTCTCTTAAACTGTCAGGGATAACAGTTTAGAGAATGTTGCAGAAATGTGATGTAAGAGGCTATGTTAAAACTATGAAAGTGGAAAGGAGCGAGATGGATTTGAGGCATTTATTTCTAACATAGCAGCTTAGTTGATAGATATTAAGGACAAGTTTAGGTCACGCCCTGCTCTATCATTCTAAGCAGGCATGTTGGGATAGCTCATTTTTGTAGAAATCAAGACCACAGTTCAGGCAACTGGGAAGAGAGCAATGCAAAAGCGGAGGTGGGAACAACAGTTAAGAATAATAGGATTGGAGGGACAGATGTGGTTCTCTTGTATTGAGGCATTTGAGGAGTCTCTGTGACATCTATGGTGGTCCAGCAAACAACTGGAAAGGTGGATCAGGAGTTTGGAAGAAACTATGAGTCTTGTAGCAGATATAGGGTGTGTCTCTGTGAATAATATATTGTACTTATGTAGTACAGCAGTCTCAAGTCCCCTGTGTTATTAAATGTAGAGAGAGTAGACATAGTTGCCCCACTCCTCTATGGAGAAACAGGCAGAAAGAAAGTCATATTCAATTGTATCTGACTCTTATGTAGGTATCTATGTCTCTGTTTAGCTGTACGTCTCTTTTCTCTCTCTATAATGCAGTCTTAGATCTCTCTGTCCATATCAGTGTGAATCATTACCAGTTTGAGTGTTAAAAAGCAAAACACTTGAGAGTTATATGCAAACCCACATGCTAGGTGATGTGAGAGAATACAAAGAAGTGTAAGATAGTTTCAGGCTTCCAGGAATTTATAGTCTGCTCAAATAGATAATGAACAAAATAACTGTAGCACAGTGAAGTAAGTATCATATGGTGGGTACAATAATTTCTACAGAAGTCACTGTTTCTGCTTCTTTGTATAGGTCTTTGTGAGACTGCTTTACTGCTAAACAGTCCTCTCTCCCACTTATAAATGATGAGGCTGTTGTTCCGATAGCTATGCCAAAATGCCAGGCCATGATGAAAGTCTTATGCAGCCCAGAGAGAAGAGAGGGAGATTAACCCCCTGCCCCCATCCTGGCCTATTAGAGGAGGGAAATTTAGAGCTCTCCAATCAACTTGACCCTGTTTACCACCAGCCAACCTCCCAGGTTCAAGCCAAGGCCTTTAAATTCATGTTACTACTGCAGCTGTGGAGGTGAAGTGTGACTTTAAGTTACTTTGGGAATATTACCCAAAAAGAGCAAATAGAGTCAAAACTATTGATTCCAGCAGACAAAAATGATCATGATCTCTCCTGGGTTCCTAGATAAGAATGAAATTTCCAAATGTTCCCACTTGAGGGAGCACCGAGATGCTCTGAAGATTTCTCTGTATTCAGAGCACTTTCTAATCTCAGACTGTCTTGAACAAGGAAACTTGGAAAACCAGCCCCCTCTGGGCTATAGCAGCCTTTGACTCACAAGGGTGCTGAGAGGACTCAGTTCCCTAGTTTCAGAACATTTATCCTTCCCATCTACCCCTCAGTCATTCAAACTTTGATCCTTGCTGACAGTCAGCTGCTGGGATCCTCCCCAGATGCGGCCCTCTCTCATGGTAAGGTGTATGTCAGTGACTCAGGTGCCTACACCTACGCTTAGTGACTATTTGAGGGAAAGCAGTGTTGTCTCTCCAGCTTCCATATCTTTATAAATAGGTCTGTGAAAGTCTTGTGGGGCCAACTTGAAGCTCATATTTTCTAGTGTTAGCTTTTAAGTCCTAATGTTTCATTAGGCAATGTAGTATAAAAGGCCATGAGCTTTGGAACCACACAGACCTGTATTCAGATCCCCATTTCACCCCTTGCCAGCCATGGGCAGGTTGCTTAATATTTCTTGAACCTTAATTTCCTAATCTGAAAATAAGGCTGATAATAGTATTCACCTCAGGGTTATTATAAAGAGTAAATGAGACAATATTTCTGAAGGACCTTGTAGTGCTTTAAAGGAAGTCATTAGTTCACCAGCCCCTCCCCTAATGTTGCCAGGCTCAAATGGATGGAGCCTAAGATAGGCTGAATCTTTGTTTCTCTTGTCTTTCCAGGTCCCTTTTTCAGAGAGCTACCCAGCTGTGGAAAATGAGCATCTTCAAGGTAAGTTTACTGAGGAAAGGAAACTGGTATGAAAACAACAGCCTGATCCTAATTCATATTCAGCAGTGCTTTTGAATTTTTCCCAGGGTCTTCCCTGGGAAAATCAAGGCTGGGCCAGATAATGTGCCAAACCACATAAATCAGGAACAAGTGATTTTGTGAGATCACTTAAGAATAAATCTTGGGCATGGTGAGGATGATTAATATCTTCAGTCATCAAACCACTTGAGAGAAACTTGAGGTACTGGGAGAACTTCCGTAGGCAACTCTGGGCTGGCTAACCATGTTTTAGAAGTCCTGGGTATGATCTGAGTAGCCCAAACAATGCTACTAGGATTTTATCATCCAGCGATCTCACTAAAGTCACTGAGTATACACAAGAAATTATAGAAAGGACTTGAAAACCCTTAGAACTAATCCAGAAATAAGAGGCGCTAAACCCTAAAATTCAGGGCACAGGAGAAGGGAATTCCAGCATCTGCCCAAATACCTGGTTAGAGCAGGGTGGTCCAACCCTGGTCATTTGGAAAGAAGCAAAATTATAGGCATCTCTGGTAAAGGGTTTTGCCCAGGAACACTCTTAGTCTTTCTCGGACATGTTTATGGCATTAGGAATATGTACTTTCTCAGAGGATTAAAATATGGGATGAGATTCTGGGATATATTATTAAAGGTCTGTGAGTTCTCCACAGGAATTTTTAAATGATCTATTTTTATGTCGTTAGTACCCAAAAAAGTTAATATAGTCATATTTTGAATTACCTGGATGATTCTTTATAATTGATGACTGCACCATGATGTCAGTGCTTATTTTGAGTTTCTGAGTGCATTTGCGTTAGCACCAACTGAGGCAGGGGTAAGAAACTCAAATTGTCTACATGGATCAAGTAGTGACATGGGTTCCATGTGATTACAATAACCTGTGGTTCTCGTTGCATCTAAAAGGAGGCAGCAACTAGCCTAGTCTGGTTAATTCCTGCTATTCAGGAATTCAAGACCTAGTTTTGTCAGATCTTCTGATTATGAAAAGAAACTGGGAATTTGGATTCTTACAAATCTCCAGAACTTTTAAATTGGGCAACTAAATTATTTAAATTAATTATTAGGTGAAAACCAAACCAAATATGTTTGCAGGCCTGTAGCCTGTAATATTATTTAACTATCATTGTAGCATGTCTTGAACTGGTAATACCAAAAGACACATTCTTGGGAGTCTGTGAGTTTTCAGATTTGAAGAACAATGGTGGCCTTCCAGTTAGAGATGGTGGGTTTAATACATGTATCTACTTTTGTTCCTTCACAAAAAGCCACTAAAGCCACCATGAAGGAATTATTCTTGAAGGTACAAAAACCACCAGAATAGGGAGAACAAGTGAGGAGACAATAGCAATGAATTTTTGGAAGCTGGAAAGCAGACAGAAGAGTGGTAAATGACTTAGCATACCTGAGAAAACTCAACTGTAACTAGCAGAGGGAAAGCCCAGAAGCCCTGAAGGTCTAAGAAGGAGTCACATCCCAAGACTTCCTACTCCACTAAGTGCAGCTGGAAAACTGCCCATCCTAACTTTGGCAGAGACTGGAGGTACAGAAAGGGGCTGAGGTACTGTGCTGAAAACACGAGTGTGAAGTGAACTATACTAGATGCTGAGACCCTAGTCCTTTCCCCCACTCAGTTTTCAGAATGCTGATAGAAAAGACTTTGTTCTCAAGCACAGAGTCAAATGAATAATCCTTTTCTTCAGAATCCCATTGAAGGAAAAACCTAAAAATATAAGTACTGACTGTTCCCCATCTTAATGGTTCACAGTTAACAAGGCTCATCTACACACATAGAGCTTCTAATCAGCTTTAAAGACTCCATTCTTAAAATATGGTTTGAATCCTCCTTTAAACCAAGGATTACCAGACATCTAAAGAAAGCCTCTAATGCGAAAAGAGTAATCCAAACTGTCCCCCCAAATGAAGAAGAAAAAAGGAAAAGACAAACAGGAAAAAAAGCAACAGTGGGAAAAGTCAATGCATAAAGAAGAAAACTTTAAAAATGAACGTTAATACTTACTCAAATAAAGAACATATTTCCACCATGAAGCAAGTATAAGATGTAATTTTTTAACGAAAAGGAATGTTCAGAAAAGAGAAAAGGAGCTCTTAGAAATTAAAAATATAACAGCAAAAATGTTAAACTAGGAGGTTTGGAAAATCAAGTTGAAGAAATCTCTCATAAAGTAAGAATTAAAAATCAAAGTGAACTCACAGACATAGAAAATAAACTTATGGTTACCAAAGGAGAAAGAAGGGGGATAAATTAGGAGTATAGGATTAGCAGATACAAACTACTACATATATAGAAGAAACAACAAGGTCATACTATATTAGCACAAGGAATTGTATTTGGTATCTTTTAATAAACTATAATGAAAAAGGAAAAAAATGAAAAAAGAGGAAATAGAAAAAAGAAGCAGTGTTTAGTGCCTCCTTATCCTTGGGGAATACATTACAAGACTCCCAGTGGATGCCTGAAACCACAGATAGTATTAAACTGTATATATAATGTTTTTTCCTATATATCCTTACTTACATACATACATACCTATGAGTGTATGCATGCTAAATTGCTTCTGTTGTGTCTGACTCTGTGCGACCATATGGACTATGTAGCCTGCCATACTTCTCTGTCCAAGGGATTCTCCAGGCAAGAATACTGAAGTGGATTCCCATGCCCTCCTCTGGGGGCTCTTCCCTATCTAAGGATCGAACCCATATCTTTTGTGTCTCCTTCATTGACAGGCGAGTTCTTTACCACTAGCACCACCTGGGAAGCCCCGTGCATACCTATGATAAAGTTTAATTTACAAATTAGGCATAGTAAGAGATTAACAACAACAATAATAAAATACAACAATGATAACTGTATACTAAGAGTTATGTGAATGTGGTTGGTCAGTCTAATAAGAATAAGGTGTATGTTTGCTCATTCGTGTCTGACTCTTTGTGACCCCATGGACTATAGCCTGCCAGGCTCCTCTGTCCATGGCATTTTCCAGGCAAGAATACTAGAGTGGGTTGCCATTTCCTACTCCAGGGGATCTTCCCAACCCAGGGATCGAACCTACGTCTCTCAGTCTGTCTACCTCTAAATGTCTTATTGTATAAACATAATACCTTTCACATCTTGACTAAGCACTTTTCACACACTGACCCTATAACTTTTGCAATTGAGTTGCAACAGCAAAACTAGCATGATTTTCTGTTTCTTCTCAGTTTCACAGATAGAAGATTTATTTTTATCACAGATCTTAGCAACCTCAGCAGATGATTGTTTTTCTTTGCCTTACTAAGTTGAGAACTTTCACCTTTTCACTTACAGGAATCATTCTAGGTTTTTGGACTCCCCCCAGTGGCTCAGTGGTAAAGAATCCACCTGCTGTGCAGGAAATGGGTTCGAGCCCTGGGTTGGACACGCAAAGAGTTGGACATGACTGAGCGACTAATCACACACACCAGCACTACAGCTTCAATTTTAAGTAAAATAAGAGTTTGTTATTGTTGTTTAGTTGCTAAAGTAGTGCCAGACTTTGCAACCCCATGGACTGTAGCCTGCCAGGGTCCTCTGTCCATGAGATTTACCAGGCAAGAATACTAGAATGAAAAAAAAAGAATACTAGAATGGATTACCATTTCCTTCTCCAAGAAACTCGGAGTCTTAACCACTAGGCCCTCAGAAACGTCCTCCAAAATAAGGGTTACTTGCCCACAAGCACAGCAATGACATCCATGACAGTCTGATCACTGAGAGGGCTACTAATGAGTAATGAGTAGTGGATGGGATATGCTGGACAAAGGGATGATTGCCTCCCAGGGCTGGAACTGAGCTAAATAGCAGGAGATTTCATCATGCTGCTCAGGATGCCACACAATTGAAAACTTATGAACTGCTTGTTTCTGGAATTTTCTATTTAATATTCAGACAAGGTTTGATTATGGGTAACTGAAACAGTGGAAAGTGAAACCTTGGATTAGGTGAGTGGGGCAGGGGGAACTACTGTGTTTTAAAAACAAAAACAAACCTTAAGGGTCAGTTTTGGAAGTCCAAATAACAGGAGTTACAGAAAGAGAAAAATGACAGCACAGAGGGAAGGAAACAATCAAGGAAATATTTTAAGAACATTTCCTAGAACTGAAGAACATTAGTTTTCACATTGAAAGAACTCGTTGAATATTCAGCACAACGGGTGAAATTCTCCCACCCAAAGCACAATCATCACAAAATTTCAGAACACCGAACAAAGAGAAGATCCTGAGTTTCCAGAGAGAAAATAACAAGACATATACAAAGAATCAGAAGGTCCTGGGACCCCAAACTCTGGACAACACCAGAAGCTTGGAAGGCAGTGAAGCAGTGCCCTCAATATTCTGCAGGAAAATAAAGTTCAACCTAGAATTCTGTAGCCAAACAAATTATAAGTCAAAGACGAGGGTAACATAGAGATATTTGTAGGGTGCAAGGTCTCAAAAAATGTACCTCCCATGCACCCTTTCTCAGGAAGCTACTGGAAAATGTGCTTCACCAAAACAAGGGAATAATCAAAAAAGAGGAAATCATGGATACAGGACACAAGAGTGCTAATACAGGAGAGACGTGAAAGGGGTCCCAGGATGGCAATGAAGGAAGATCTCAAGATGACAGAAGTGCACGGCAGGCCAACCAGCCCAGATTTGAGCAGGTCAGAAGGCTCCAGAGAGACTTCTTTGGGTAGTTAAATTGATAGACTATCCCATGCTTCTGAACTTCTTGAAAGGAGACTTAAACAATTGGTAAAGAGTTTGGGGATTGAATTAGTTATAAGTACTAAACATAGAGAACTAAGCAAACAAAAAGACAATTATTAACTCCAAGGAAAACAAAGTTGTGAAGGAAAAAAGACTTTACTACTTGACATAACTCAGAATAATGAATATTCAGTCAAATTATTTAAATACTGATGCAATTTAACTTCTGGGAGAATGGAGAGTTGGGAGGTACAGGTTTATAATGGGGTCCTGGTAGGAAATAGAATTGAAAGTTTTCATCTTCCTCATATGATAATAGAGAATGCCTGTCATCTTCCTTGTATGATAATAGTTAATGCCTAAAACTGAAAAAAAGGTAGCAATATAAGCATATTATTTGTAGACATAGAAATAAGTACCAAAATAATCAGCTAAAAGAGGTTTCATCTCTGGGGAGGGGTGGAGGGAGGTGGGTGCTAGGAACTGCAGTTTTTCTTAACAAAATTATAGAACTATTTGACTCTCTAAACTGTGTACCTATATAACTTTGATAAAAAAATTAAAAATAAAAAACAACTGATTAGGATTTAAGAGCATGAACTTTGGAATCATGTAGATCTATGTGTGAGCCTTTCTTGTTACTAATGATATGACGTTGAGCAGTTTTTGTTTTATGGCTTTCTGTCTGTTTTCTCAGCTGAAAAATGACAATATTTGTTTGCCTTACAGATTAAATGACATAATATTTTTAGATATACAAGCATACTATGTAGCACATTTGGGCTGTTATTTTGGGGATTGCTGCTCCAGTAGAGCAAGCAGTTAAAATCAGAGGAATGGAAAGGTAAACACAGCCATTTGTCTAGAGTAGGTGGGATGATTTCTGATTCACAGGGTCATCCCAAGATGGACTCTCAGGTTGTTTGGGGCCAGGTCAGTTGAGCACTGGGCTCTAACTTATTGCTGTTCTAAAATGGCCCACCTTGGACTATGACTTCCTCATCTGTGAGTCTTAACAAGAATTTTAAGAAGTTTACTTCTTGGATTTTAAGAAACTTAATTACATTTTAATTGAGAAAGAGAACAAGTGAAAATGTGCATATAAATATATGAGAAGGAAAATGAGTTCAAGGTGAGGAAAAAAAACTTTTAGACTAGAACAGGTTAATGAAAGTTTTATAGACTTTCTGTTTTAGTCAGCCATCTTATGCTTAAGGAGCCAATAGATATAGTTCTACCTGGGGGTGAAGTTGGATGAAATGGTTTCTAAGGAGTTTATCCAGGTTTTGTGGGAACAATAGGAACAAAATGGAATATCTGTTCCTGTTGTCCTTTATAAGTGGGCCTTATAAAATCATGCCGTTAAAAAAAAAAAATCATGCCATAAATATCTGAGCAACTACAAAACTTTTATTTTCTGCCTCTTTTGATTGTGAGTTGTTGCATGGGAGGAAGCTAGTAACTATCCCCCACTATGCAGAGACTCCGGAATCCAACAATAGCGTATATACTTCCTTCATGAAGTCTCATCGCTGCTATGACCTGATTCCCACAAGCTCAAAACTGGTTGTATTTGATACTTCCCTTCAGGTGGGTGAAATCCTCTTTTCCCTTCCCCCTTCCTCAGAGCCTCTGGTTCAGTACCTCTCATCCTACCTCATCCCAAGGGTGATACGCTTGTCCTTCTCTGTGATTAGGCTCCCATTTTCCCCAGCATACGCACCCCCTGTTCTTTTCCAGTCCTGCCTCCTGTGAATTTTCCTTTGTGGTTATTACTCTTTCACTACAGGTGAAGAAAGCTTTCTTTGCTTTGGTGACTAATGGTGTCCGGGCTGCCCCTTTGTGGGATAGTAAGAAGCAGAGTTTTGTGGGTAAGCAGTTTTTGGAACACTGTTTTATTGGCATCTTGTACTGGGCAGGGAGAGAAGCTTTTGAGCAGTGCTGAGGGCTGTTATCTTGGCCTCTAGGCATGCTGACCATCACTGATTTCATCAATATCCTGCACCGCTACTATAAATCAGCCTTGGTAAGGCTCCTGAGCCCATGACCAAAACCACTTTCCCTGCCCAGAGTCCCTCACTCTCATTTCCTTTCTTGCAAGCAAACTACAAGGGGTTAATAAAGCAGAGAGATCAAGTCTCAAGTTCTGTTGCCTCTTCTTTCAGGTGCAGATCTATGAGCTGGAAGAACACAAGATAGAAACTTGGAGAGGTATATGGAGAACTGAGGGTTGTAAAAGGATAAAGGGATGGAGAATTTCCTGGGAAACAGTTTTTCATGGTAATATTTTGTGAACCTCCGTTTTCCCTTCAGAGGTGTACCTGCAGGACTCCTTTAAACCACTTGTCTGCATTTCTCCTAATGCCAGGTGAGTTCCACCTACCCATTTGTCCAGAAGGGGAAAGAGCCTTGCCATCAGCATAGCTAAGGCCCTAGATACCCAAAGAGCCAGGAACAGAAGAGAAAAAAGACACTCCTCCCAAACACACACACATGCACACACACGCATGCACATTCTTTAGGTCTGGTCTGAACCCACTGCTCCTCTCCCTCCACCACCTGTTTTCCCTGTTTGTAAACACACTCTAAAGAGCTACTTCAGCACCCTCAGGCCCACCACTGTGGAACTTATCATTAATCCCTGCCTTCCCACAGCTTGTTTGATGCTGTCTCTTCATTAATTCGAAACAAGATCCACAGGCTGCCAGTTATTGACCCGGAATCAGGCAACACCTTGTACATCCTCACCCACAAGCGCATCCTCAAGTTCCTCAAGTTATTTGTAAGTTCTCCTCAGCCCAGTGTTTACCTCTTATATACTGGTTGGAGAAGTATCCAAGGGTAGTTTGAGGGGCCTTGAAAAAAAATCAAGGTGATGGTTATTTCCTCAGATCACCGAGTTCCCCAAGCCAGAGTTCATGTCTAAGTCTCTGGAAGAGCTACAGATTGGCACCTATGCCAACATTGCTATGGTCCGCACCACCACCCCTGTGTACGTGGCTCTGGGCATCTTTGTACAGCACCGAGTCTCAGCCCTGCCAGTGGTGGATGAGAAAGGTGAGGGATCGGGCACAGGGAGAGGAGGGCTCCAGGGAAGCTGTGGGGAAATCTGCTGTCCCCTCAGCTCAGCCTGGAAGGTGGTTCTGTAGGCAGGGGGAGCCTTGGATGCCAGATCCTCCTTGCTGAGCTGCCTCTGTCCCCCTAGGGCGTGTGGTGGACATCTACTCCAAGTTTGATGTTATCGTGAGTGATTGGGGGGGGTGGGTTGGGAGGTAGGGAAAGGGGTGGGGTATTGAATGTGGAAAGGGAGAAGAAGAGTCTCTTCTGGGACCTAAGGGTTTTAGAAGTTTCCAAGCTTTCAAATTCTGTTTGAAAAGGAATTGAATGAGCTGGGCATGGCTTGTGGGCATGGCTGACACCTACTTTAAATCACTCTGTGAGGTGGGGTGGGCTCAGGGTTTGGGGGCTGGCTCCCTTGCTTCCCTGCATGAATCTTCCTCTCTCTCCCCAGAACCTGGCAGCAGAAAAGACCTACAACAACCTAGATGTGTCGGTGACCAAAGCCCTGCAACATCGATCACATTACTTTGAGGGTGTTCTCAAGTGCTACCTACATGAGACTCTGGAAACCATCATCAACAGGCTGGTAGAAGCAGAGGTAGGAGGGCCAGCAACCCAAAAGGAGCTGGGGGGAGCAGCTCTGGTTTGGCATGGAGGGTGGGGACTGAAGGGCTCACCTTCAATGAGGCTGGCACTAAACATCCCTTTCTCCCTCATGGCTCTATGCAGGTTCACCGACTTGTAGTGGTGGATGAGAATGATGTGGTCAAGGGGATTGTATCCCTGTCTGACATCTTGCAGGCACTGGTGCTCACAGGTGGAGAGAAGCCCTGAACCGGGGGAAGGGGTCGTGCAGCACCAGGGCATATGCCCTACTCACTGCCTGCCCAAAGCTCTGGGAACCACAGATGAGACCTTTAGAGAATTGTGACTCTGTTCCCTGCCCAGGAGCCCCCTACCCTTCTACATGGGAGGAGGGATCGTGTGGGGGAGGAAGGAAAATGGATTTTCAGCTCTCCTTATCCTCACCCTTGAGGAAAACTTTCAGCCTAGCCCATCCTAGCCCCTTTCCTTTTAGACATAGCCCCCTTTCTGGGTGACCTATGAACTCTGTGCTCCTCAGGCAAATCCTGATCTCTAAGAGATCCTCAGACCTCACCCAGCCTCTGTCCCTGACTCCACCCTAAGATAATAGGCACAACAGAACTCTGCATAAAGATGTTTTTATTCATCATGTTTCATGCTGTATGATGGAGGCTGAGTCCATGTAGTGGCATTTCTTCCTCTAATGGGAGTGGGGAGGATCACGGGGAGGAGGGCCCTTGGCTTCCTGTGCTGTATGCATATGAAAGGAGATGAGAGTTGCAGGGAGGGGGAGGGCAGAGTGGTTAGCTGAGGTTATTGCTTTTCCTGGCAAACCTAATTAAAATGACAGGAGCCTCTTCATGGTATTTCAGTGTTTGATTTTTGTAGTTGATAGACACTACTGCTCAAGCGTTTCTACTTCATATGGCTTCTTCAACTCATCATTAAGAACAATAATAATAGCACACACACACACATATATTAAACTGTGTGCCAGCCAACATTCTCAGTGCTTTATATATATTACTTCAATTAATCCTCAGAACAATAGTAGATACTATTTCAGTTTTATGTATTTTTTTAACTGAGTTACAGAAAGGCCAAGTAATTAGCCTAGGGCCACAGAATTAATAAAAAGTAGAGCTAGGATTTGAGCTGAAACAGTCTTGCTTTAGAGCTTATGCACTTTACCACTACACTAGATTCTTTCTAATTCTCCGTTCAAAACTGTTTCCCACCCTATTCCCTGCAGTCTCCTTATCACCTCTCTTTCTCCTCTGCCTGGACCATAGCTGGCATCCAAGGAAAATTCCATAACAGTGCTAGGTCTCGGTCTCCAGAGAGTAGAAAGACTGAGGGTCTCCTCTGGGTAGGCAGAGAGACCTGCCATTATCATCCACTTTTCTTAGGGAAGGTTGGACTCTGGATTTTGCTGAGCTGTCTTTGAACTCATAAATCCCTTTCTTCCAAGGTGGATAAGAGCTGGAGAGGAGGGGTGGGGAGCAGCAGGATTACGGTCACCCTGTCCCTGTGCTGAAACCACGTGGACCAAAGCAGTAGTCCAAGCACCAGGCACCATAAGGGCTGCTAGATGGTTGGGTATGAACCACATTCTGGGGACTGTCTCACCACTGCCTTAGAGATATGGGACCATTTCCTATCCCAGATTTGAAGGAGTTTCAGAGTACTTCCTTGCCCCTACACAGACCGTGCCTGATAACTCATGACCCTGGCTATTCTCTACTGGTTCCTCCAAACCAGGCTTCTCCATGGAACACAGAAAAGCACTGGGCACTCGTCCAAGCTCTGCTCTCAGTGCTGCGCTGTGGGGCTTTGGAGAAGCCCCTGCTTCTGCATTCACCCCTTCAAAGCTCTCACAGCACATTCCCACTCTTGAGGGAGGAAGGCTTATAAGTTATTAGAATTAGGGTATGTTTGTGTGTGTGTGGGTGTGTGCGTGATGGAAAGGCCAGATGTCGCCTTCTGTCACATTCCATCGTGTCTAGGGAGGAGGCAAGGACTTTTAAAACCTTGGGGCTCTGGTGGGACCTGGGTGGAAGGAAGCATCTTCAAGCAAGAGCCACCCCACCGGTGTAGCTGGTAGGTGTAAAGTGGGCTGAGCGGATGGGACAGAGGATGTTTGGGTTCTCTCTAAAAGGTCCATGTTAGGGAGCAGGAGGCCTGGGTTTTGTTTCCGTGGTTCCCAGTAAGTCAATGCCCATCCTAAAACAATCCTCCTGGCTCCTCACCTTAAAAGGAAGGGTCTGTGTCCAAGGGCTGTGTATACGTTAGTGGAAAACAAATTGGGATCTGCTTTTCCTGTCCCCCTAAAAAACCCAGCCAGTCAGTCTCAGGGTATGAGGATGGAGCAGAAGGAAAGACAAGGGATAAAATTTGGGAGCCTCATAGCCTTCTGTTCTTACCTATTCCTCAGGAGAGGTGCATTATCCATTCTTCAGCACTGTTGCCATACACACTCTTTTCTCCCACCTCCCCGCACCCCTCCTCTCCACTGGAGCTGCTGCCATGGTTGCCAGGCATGGTTGCTAAGTCTCTGCATGGAAGGGTTGGCGTGGGCTGTACTGCCACTAACATTACCATGGTGAATCAGGGGACACCTGGTATAGGCTTGGGGGGAGGGATCATGCAAGCAACCACCCCCACCCAGGACAGAATGAGCCTGAAAGGTGATCACCTTGAGCACCACTCCAGGTGGGGGTTGAACGAGCTAGGCACTGTGGTAGCGGTGACAGAGTGCTACACTGGGAAATGGGGGCCAGTTGTATCATTTCAGTTGCTAGGGGATTAGTTTAGCCAAGGAAGCACACCATTCCTCCTCTATACCCTCTGAAAGGGTGCAAGTGCGTAAGCACTCTTTCCTCCACAAGTCTGAGCAGAGTTCAGGCTGAGAACAGTAGGACCCTCAAATCCTGGCTTCTGGATTGGGGGTTGGGAGAGCCTGCTTCAGAGAGAGGGCTCCATGGGTGCCCAAGGACAAACATCTAAGGATGAAAATGTGGGCAGCTTCGATGGCCAAGACAGACTCCTGTCCTGCTGTGCCAGCAGCCCTGGGCACACCACTGAGAGGGTAAGGAGTTAAGGGTGTGGGGGTGACCCTTCTTGAGCTTGGAGGCAGCTCTCCCCCAGAGTCGCACAAAGGCTGCGGGCAAGCCACCACCTCCTCCCTCCACTGCATGGAAGCTGGTTACTCATCTCCTCTCTGCTCCCGAAAGCCAGTGCCGCTAAAAATAAACTCCCCAGCCGTGGGCCAGCCCTTCGTGCACCCCAACCCCCTGGAAACCAGCAGAGAGTGGCAGGCAGAGACCTTGAGTTCCATTCCCATCACCTCCCTGATGAAGAAATCAAAGTCGGGCAGGATGTCAGAGACAGAGCGCTGCTGGTCAGGCACCCCGAGAAGCAGGAGAGTGAAGGGTTAAAACGGCGGGAAGGTTGAAGAAATGGGGGCGGGGGTGGGGGCACTGTCAGCTTGGCAAGAATAAGAAATCCCCTGCCCACTCGTGCGGGTCCCATCAGGCTTGGGGGACAAGAGCAGTGGGAAGGGGCGCCCAATCCCGGGCCCCGGGGGGGGGGGTCGTGCACGTGGGGGAGGTAGCAGCGCGGAGCCGTCCGCGCCGTGTCACATGCGCGCGCGCACACACACACAGACAGGCACACACGTGTGCCTGGGTATATATAGTCCCCAGTCGCTGGGCCCGCTGCTCTGCAGTGGGCGCCGGCTCCCCGGGCTGGGAAGGGGCTTTCGGGGCGGGTGGGAGGGTGGGGGGCCGGGGTGGGGTGGGGCAGGATGCTGGATGGCCAGCTCTTCTCCGAGGGGCCCGATAGCCCCCGGGAGCTCCAGGATGAGGAGTCTGGCAGCTGCCTCTGGGTACAGAAATCCAAGCTGCTGGTGATCGAGGTGAAGACTATTTCCTGTCATTATAGTCGCCGCGCCCCTCCTCGACAGCTCATGGACTTCCAGGCCAGCCACTGGGTCCGCGGGCCCCAGAGCCGCACGTGAGTGAAGGAGGGGTAAGGGGAAGAGAGAGGTGGGGCAGGGATTGGGGTCCGGACCTTCCCGTGGGCACCAGCCAGCGCTGCTGTTCCCCCTTCTCTTTCCCACGCCTCCCCCAACCCCGTCCCGAAGGCTGGGGCCTGACTCATCCCGTTTGTTTGGGGGCACAGGAGTGGGCGTGAGAAAGGGCAGGTGAGATGGGGCAGACGCTGTTAAAGTGTGCATGGAGAGATGGTGAGGAGTCCCGCTTCGACTTCAACCCTAACATATACACACGTGCACACGCGCACACACTCACACACATCCCTCCACCTCGCGGCCCCAAGTGGCCTCCAGCGCTCCCAGCTCCCCGGACCTCGGCTCCCTTCCCCCACAAACTGCTCACCTGGGTTCCTGCTCATTGTCCCAGGTGTGGGCCGCGCCCGGGATCCCCTGAGCCGCTGCCCCCCCGGCCCTGGGCCTCCAGGGTGCTGCAGGAGGCGACCAACTGGCGGGCGGGGCCCCCGGCCGAGGCCCGAGCCCGGGAGCAAGAGAAAAGGAAAGCGGCATCGCAGGAGCGGGAGGCCAAGGAGACCGAGCGAAAAAGGCGCAAGGCTGGTGGGGCCCGAAGGAGTCCCCCTGGTCGGCCCCGCCCGGAGCCTCGGAATGCACTTCGGGTGGCCCACTCTGCAGGGCTCCCAGCTTCCTCAAGGCCGGAGCGCCTGGGGTCGGTGGGGCGACCGCCCCGTCCATCCGCGCAGCCGCAGAGCAATCCTGGGGCGGCGTGGGCGGGGCCCTGGGGCGGTCGGCGGCCAGGGCCCCCCAGCTACGAGGCTCACCTGCTGCTGAGAGGCGCTGCCGGGATGGCCCCGCGACGCCGCTGGGACCGGCCGCCACCCTACGTGGCTCCACCTTCTTACGAGGGCCCCCACAGGACCCTGGGGACTAAGCGAGGCCCAGAGCCCTCGCAGGCGCGCGCCTCTTCAACCTCTGCGCCGACTAGGACAGAGGGAGGGTGCGCAAAGAAGAGGCTAGATCCTCGGATCTACCGGGACGTCCTAGGGGCCTGGGGTCTCCGTCAGGGGCGGGGTCTCTTGGGGGGATCCCCAGGCTGTGGAACAGACAGGCCAAGGCTGGAGTCCAGGAAGGGGGCCGCGGAGAAAAGCCTGAGGCTGGCTGCTGCTGGCCTGAAGAGTGGTAGCGACGGCCATCCCCAAGCTAAAGCCGCTGGGAGCCCAGGCACAGTTCCTGCGGGGTCTGCCACTGCCACCCCTAGCCCCCCGCGTCCCACTCCCAGGTCCAGACCCCATCCCAAGGGCTCCGGGGAAGGAAGGGAAGGTAGAGACCAGACCTGGCTCCCCAAACGCTGGGTTCCCTCGATTAAAAAGCAGCCGCCCCGACACAGCCAGACCCTCCCCAGACCCTGGGCTCCAGGCGGCACGGGATGGAGAGAATCCCTGGGTCATAGAGGGGAGACGGGACCCGAGACCTTGGAGGGTTGGAAGGCGACCCGACGCCCCCACACCCTGCCCCGAAGTTCCCGTGGCCCCGCTCGTGGGGAAGGCGTCTTTGTCATTGACGCCACTTGCGTGGTGATACGCTCCCAGTACGTCCCGACCCCTCGAACCCAGCATGTGCAGCTTTTGCCCGCCGGGGTGCCGCGCCTTGTGGGGAATGCCCCCAGCCAACCGAAACCCAATCAAGAGGAGGGAGAGGGGCCCGCCGTCCTTCCCTCCTCTTGCCGAAAGCTGCTGTTGAGCAGTCGCCCTTCTCTCCAACCCAGTGAGGGACGGGGGCTCGAAGCTGAGGGCGGGAAGCCCGCGGACTCCTCACTGGAGGAGCGCGCCTCCCGCATCTTGGGGCTCCCGGTTGGCGAAGTAAACCTACAGGATCCCCCCACGCAGCCAGGTAGCCCAGAGCACTCAGCCTTAGGCCCAGCGGCTTCGAGGGGAGCGCGCGGTGCCGAGGGATCGGAGAAAGTGGCGTCCGGCCCGCGGCGCGCAGGCCGGGGCTGGGCGCGAGCCCCTGGACCCTATGCCGGGGCCCTGCGGGAAGCCGTGTCCCGCATCCGCCGCCACACCGCCCCGGACTCCGACTCAGACGAAGCTGCGGAGCTCAGCGTCCATAGCAGCTCTTCTGATGCGAGCGACACGGAAGCCTCGGGCGCCTCCTGGCGGGAAGAGCGGACCGGGCCCCCTGAAGGCGGGAAGACAGCCGAGCTGAGCGGCAATGCCCAAGAGATTGTAGGTGCCATCAGCAAAACCGAGGAGGTCCTCTTCGGGGCGAGGGACATTAAGGGGACTCCACAGGGAAATAGGGAGCAACAGTGAGAGGCCCTTTATTATATTTGTGTCCCCTTTTCTCCTCACAGACGTCCTTGTACCCCTTACCTATACCCACCCTTTCCCGAACTCAACATTGAAGGCACGCAGATGAGAGGGAGCACATGCCAAGTCATGATTTTTTTCCCAGGAGAGGTGAGGGTGTGCAGTAGACTTGAATGCCTTCTCCACCCAGTGCCTGTGGGTAAGGTCTTCAGCAGGGCCCAGTGCACTAGCATGGAGCTGAGCAGAGAGGCCTAGGTGGGATGAGGCCAGAGGGCAGGGATGGGATAGTCAGGGCAACCGCAGGACAGGCCTCTGAGCAGGAGGAGGAAGGTGATGGAGAGGCCTCAGACTGAGGTGATCAGGTGACAGAGAGGCCCTTGGCAGAAGCCACCAGCAAAGCAGAGGAGGACTCACTTTGGTTTCACAGATCTCGGGTTCCAACCCCAACTCTGAGACTGATTTGCTGGGTGACCTTAAGCAAGTCATTTCCCCTCTCCAGTTCCTATAATATGTAAAATGAGGGCGTTCTAAGGTCCATTCCTGATGTTTTGGAGTCCTAGGAGAGGCTCTTATCTCTTCACAGTTAGGAATAAGTGAACAGAGTCTGAGGGTCCCTGGGTGGCTTCATGGACACCTGCATTCACTCTCAACTCAAGAGACTGTACGGGGTTTGCAGAAGAGCCAAGCAAGTGGGCAGGGGCTCCTATTCCAGTCTCTCAGGTTTAGGTGTAGGATCCCCGAGGCAGGGCAGGATGGTGGCCTTGTCACTGTCCCTAGTTTGTGGTGGTCTGAGCTGGGGAGGGAAGGCACCCAATGAAGCTGCTTGGGACCTTTAGGCCTTCCCCTGTTCCTCTGCCCCAGTGTTCCTTGGTGATGCTCTAAATAGTTACCACGATTTCCCACCCAGGTGAAAGAGAATCCAGAGAAGGTCTTCCGTGTTTCTGCCTCTTCCAGAAATCAGCAAGGGAAGAGGCCGGTCCCCCAAAGCCTGTAGGTGTGGGGTGTGATACTCGCTGTAGCCACTACGGGGCGCGCGCAGGTCGCGGATTTCCCTCGTAGCTAGTCCCCGAGTCTTGCCAACCCCCGGCACTGCCAGTTAATCAATTGCTCCCTAGCTCCTGCGCGCGGGTCCCCTGCCTTGCCCCGTCTCCAGCCATGCGAGATCGCGAGTAGGCCTCTGGCCTTGCAGACCTTGGGAGCGCGCGGAGCCCCTCTCTGTACTCGTCCACAGCGAACAGCCTGGGATTCAGACACTGAAGTATTTTTTTCTCTTCGATCTCGGACACCGCCTCTGTCTCTATTTACTAGCCATGTGAACTCGGCCAAATCACTTCACCTCCCTGAGCCTCAGTCTCCTCATCCGTCAAATGGGGGTTTATAAACACCTACCTCGCAGGGTTGTTGTGAGGACTTAATGCGATAATGTATGTAAAGCGCCTTGCACAGTACCTGGGACACAGCAGGCGCTCAATAAATCTAAGCTTCCCTTTGTCCAGCCTTGGCATCTTTTTCCTCTCACCGTCCCATTCCCCAGAGCATCCCTCCCCCCAGGGTTCCTGCGCTCCTTCCTGCTCGGTGGGCCGTGGAGGAGACCCCTTTCTCTGATGGAAACTCCAGCCCACCCCTGTCTCCCCCAGTGCGGACTCTCCCTTCCTTGCCCCCCACCCCACCCCCGCTGGCTCTTCCCATTGCTTCGACACACTCCCCCCCCCCCCCCCATTCCGGGCAAGGGCTGAGTCAGCCTGGGTAAATTTAGCCGCCGACTAGGCAGGCGCGGGGGCTTCGCTCAGACTCAGTCGCAGAGTCCTGGCCCGGCCCTCGGCCCCGCCTCTGCCCCCCACCCCCACCGAGTCCTGCCAACAGCAACTCCGGCTCAGCGTTGCGATCCCCAGCCCCGCTCTCAAACCACTTAGAGTTTTGGTCTCCAATTATCTCAGTGTCACTCTCCACCCGCACCCGGAGAGACTGGGCAGGACTGGGAGGGGGGCAGGGTAGGGAGGCCGCTGGATTGGACCCTAAACTGGGCGTCTGACCTTGGCTCAGTGGAATGGGTTGCGGGGGGCGGGGCGGTTTTTGGGGCTTTGAACCGAAATGGATAACATTGGTCAGAGTCACCCAGGAAGGTCCGTCCATCTCAGAACCTGCCTGGAAACCATACTGCCAGGTTTCAAGTTAGCTCTTGCTGGAGGAAGTAAAGTAAGTGGGGGTTAACCTTGGGCAGAGATCAAAGTTTCTGAGTTCTGTCTTCCTTCCACCTACAGTTCTAACTTCTGCTGATTCTAACTCCTAAGCATTTACTGAGCACCTGAGAAGAACTGGACACTAAGCTGAGCTCCAAGAAAGAGATGAGTAAGACCTGCCTGATGAGGTGAAGAGAAAACACGTAAATAATGATAGACTGAGCAGTGGGTGTTAAGTATTATAAAGAATCAAACAAGGCAGATTGTACAGATTCAATGAGATCATGAAAGGCTCCATGGAGAAGGTGGGCATCTGAGATAGCATTTGGGGAAAGGGTTTCCAAGCAGAGGGGACAGCAAAAATAGAGGTGTGAATGTAAGGGAAACGGTTTGTTTGTTTAGGAAATTGTCAAATGGTCTGGTTTGACTGGAGTTGAGGATACATTCAGAGGAGATGTGGAAGATAAAGGCAGGAGTGAAAACAGAGGCCAAGCTGGTCCAGCTCAGGGTTGTGTGCCTTTGACCTCTGGGCCTAAGAACAGGATGGACTTCAGGCTAGGAGGAAGACTGAGGAAGACCAGGGCAGTAGTGAGAGCATCTGCCTGGATTTTGCTGTAGTCCAGGGGCTCCCAGGGTCTGGGACTGGCAGGAGAGGTGAGGTGCATGGGAAAGCAGAGGGGCTAGCCCTGGGGAAGGGGGTTCACAATCCTGCCTAGGCTTCTTTGAGGCTGAACACACAGCAGGCTAGTTTTAAGAGCTTACGCAGACTTCTGTCATTGTTAGAGAACTATGGTAGTGTTGTATCCAGAACATGGACTCTGGGATCTGGCAGCCTGGGTTTAAATCTTGCATCTACCTCATATTGGATCTTCCCTTGTAGTTCAGTCGGTTAAGAATCCACCTGCAATGCAGGAGACCCAGGTTCAATTCCTGGGTCAGGAAGATTCCCCTGGAGAAAGAAATGGCAACCCCCTCCAGTATACTTGCCTGGGCATGGACAGAGAAGCCTGGTGGGCTACAGTCCATGGGGTCGCAAGAGTCAGACACGACTGAGTGACTAAACCACCACCACCACCACCTCATACTGGCTGTGTGACTTTGGGCAAGTTACTCAACCTCTCTGTGCCTTAGCAGCCTCAGTTATAAAATGAAGCTATTAATAGTGCTTTTTTCATAAGCTTGTTGGGAGGATTAATGATTCAGTATGGAAAGCACTTAGAACATCTCCTGGTACACAGTAAATGATATATGTGTTGAACTCTAACGATTATTTCTCTTTAGGGCTATTTCTGTAGTGTTGGGAGTGTTGGGTTGGGAGATGGGAAGAGAGAAGTAGAGGTGGAGGATTAGGAGGAAGAGGAGGCAGAGGCTGAGAGGACAGGGGACTCCTGGGGTGGAGACAGACAGCCCCTTGAATGGGTGAATGGTGTACTGGGAGCACATGGGTGGTTGGGATGTCAAGTGCAACACCCCCTCCCCCAGGACTTCCTCCATCTTTGCCTAAGGGTGAAATCAGCACCAGCTGCTAAAGATCTGGGAAAAAGGGTGAGACAGCAGAAGAGGAGAAGCTAGTACAGGCCCCAGGGGCCAGCCCTTGGTGAGCCATATCTCAGACTGGCCCTGCAGGGCCCTGTGGGTGGGAGGCTGGAGGCTCCCCGCTGCGAAAATGACTTCTAAATCTGGCTGTGTCTGCCTGCCAGCCAGCCTCAGGACAGAGACCACAACTACACCACCCCCCACCCCATGTTGGGACAACCTTATAGGGAGGGCAGTGCTGGAGAGTGCGCTCAGGTGGGGGCAGCAGCCCTCAGGTTACCACAAGATGCTCCTACCCTTCCAACAGCCAGGTTTTTCCCAGGGAAGCCCCTTTCTGAAGGGAGCTAAGATCCCCCTCCCACTTCAGACTCTCAGGAGAGCCCTGGGACTTCCCGAGATAGATCACAAATGGGTAAATGAAACAAAGAACCGGGCCATAACTCTGGGACTTGTCATCAGGAGTGTGTGTGTGTGTGTGTGTGTGTGTGTGTGTGTCTGTGTATGTGTGAGTGTGTTTGTGTGAGGAGGAGAGGACAAGGAGAGATGGCTGAACATGAATATGTAGGTATTATGCATTCACTCAGTTATTCATTTGTTCACTCACCCATTGAACATGGATGCCAGGCCTTAGGGACATACAAAAGATTCAGACCTGTTACCTATCTTCAGGGAGTTCACACATCTAGGCTGTATGAGAAACAGGGGAAAGGATTTGGAAGAGGAAACCCACAGAGTCATCACAGTGCAGGCAGTACAATATAATATATGTTGATAAAGGCATTCCCACAGGGTCTAGGGGAGCATAAAGGAAGAAATGGCTCCCAAGCTGCGACTTTTGAGCAGTCAGAATATACCCAAGCCTTTCTTTGAGAGACCAGTCACTGAGGGTGTTAGTGAACGAAGGCTCAGCCTGGACCCATTATCTCCTCTGCATGTCCTGGTGTGGGGGCTCCCTCCCTTGAAGCCCCTGGTACTACTTAGCCTCTTTTAAAAGTTTTATTTAACATCGACCATTTAAAAACTCTTCATTGGTGTGTCATTGGTGCTTCTGTTTTATGTTTTGGTTTTTTGGCTGCAAGTCATGTGGGATCTTAGTTTCCTGACCAGGGATTGAACCAAACACCCCCTGTATTGAAAGGGGAAGTCTTAACCACTGGACTGCCAGGCAAGTTCCTTACATAAGCTTTTGTGAATCTTTTTAGAGAAGAGTTACTTCATCCATCCATCTATCCATGCATGCATCCATCCATCCTTTTGTTTATTCATCTGTGCATCCATACATCCCAC